AGCTAGATACACCGTCTTGACTAAATAACTAGTCCATATATGAAATTATTTATGATTTCTAACTAACATGACAATACATGTACCATATACAGAGAACATGCGATGCCTTTAACAACACAAAAGAAGCAAAAGAAAGGAAAACATGTTATTTGGTTCATAAGAAAAGAGTATGGAGCTAAGAAAAATACAGAGACAAAACAAGAATGGTATAATCTAAGTATTTCTCTCTTATGAATGGGAAATGGGATCATGGGACCCATCTGAATTTAGCCCCATTGGTATCCTTTTCATATGGGTCCTGCAGCATAACCAAAGCCCTCCCCGTAAAGGTTCAGTCCTTAGATTCCTGCATTTGATGCAGTAGGATTTGGTCCAGACTTATGTGAGCCTGAGCTACATTTTTACCATGTGAATCAGAGCAATAAATAACATTAGCATGCAATTGGGATGCTTGCCCCCTAGGCCCACTTCCTATCAATTTCAATACATGATTAGTATATAGGCACCTGTTTTTTGGCCGAATTGGTGTAAGTATTAACTAACTCTGATATTAATGATATTTCTCTTTTCAATGTTAGAAGGAAGATAGCTTACGGCAAGGAATATTGAAGCTAATCTTCTCTTGTCAAAATCTCATTTATTATGCTATTAAATCGTCAATTTAAGTTATTTATTAAAATAAAATTGTTTGAATGTGTTGTCTTATAGCATCTACAATGGGTTCTCTAAACTACCTCCTTAGACAAATTTTAGAGAGGATCGTAAAAATGCAACTCCAACCACGCTCCCTATCCACCTCCTAAAATAAGGAGTCCTCTAGGAGCTCCTAAATCTGAGGGGAGAGAAAGAACTCCTAGTGGCTCCTTATAATTTAATGCTGCTTTATTGAATGAGTATTTCAAACCTTTATTTAATGCTAACTAATTTTTGTTTTATTTTTTAATAGATGTGGACTAATCAAAAAAGAGTTATAGCATTTATGACTCTCCAAATTAGGAAGTATGGTTGGAGTTGAAATTTTTTTGAGAGCTCCTAAAATAGCTTTCTTATGTTTTTAGCTAAGAAATAGAGAGCATCATTGTGGATGCTCTTAATTGACAATTTAGATAAACACGTTCACCATGAATTGAGATGTTATGTTTGTTAGCATAGTAGATGAACATGCCTTAAATTTATCACATTGATCAATTAGAACTTTTTTCTAACTTATGATTTCTTTAGAAAATATGCAGGGAGGTAGCAGCATTTGAAATATCTCAGCTGATCAGCCATCAATCAATCCAAGCAATACATATATGGCAACAAAAGCTAAAGATAGCACTACTTCAGGGAAGGAGCTGAAGAAGAGCACATCAGCTTTAAACTCCCTCACAAACCACACCAAAAGAGTCACCAAGTCTTCCTCCTCTGCAGGCACTGAGAAAGCAACCTCTTCAACCTCTTCAACCTCAACAACAAAGCAAGTCCCAAACTATCTGAGGCCTACTTTGAGTGCCTCAAGACATGAAAATTCTTCCAAGTCATCATTAGCTGGGAGCAAGAAACATGGCTCTGAAGACTCTGCATCATCTCAAAAGCCTACACTGAGTAGAAGAAGATCTTTTGACAAGCCACCATCACCGTCAAGACTACGCAAGTCACTGATATCACCAGGAAGGGACGCATCGCTACGATCTTCATCGTTTACAGCGAAAAGCTCCAATGTCCCGAAACCCAGTATAGATAGGTCTAATTCGAAGACGGCTAGAGCCGGAAAGCCACAGCTTTTGTATGCAAAGAGCGTGAAGAAGAGCAGTACAAGTGGTTCAGCCAAGAAGGAAAGTACAGCTTCAACAAGACCTCCAAAGAGTGAGGACATAACACAAACACTCGATCTTGAAGCCGATCTAGAGGCTATAGAGTCTTTGGATCATCAAGAGGTTGAAGAGGTAGGTATGATTGAGAGTGAGGAACATGAAAAGGTGGTTCTTCCAGACCCAAAAGTTGAAGAGAAGGAGCAAGTTGATGATCATGGTGCTGCTGTAGAAGCTGAAGCTAATGGCGGCGAGGATGAGAAGCTCAAGCCTAGTGACAGTTCTACTGTTAATGCAGAGGAATTGCAGGAAACTGTGGAGGAAAGAAATGAAGAAAGTGGAAATGCATTGGTCCAAGAAGAGAAGCCTGCAGATAATGAACAACATCAAGGGGAAGATAATCAGAACAAATTAGATGAAAGCAGTGAGGCTCAACCAGAAGAGGGTTTGGCAAGTGAGGAAACAACAGTTGAGGTGAAAGAAGATAAAGGAAAAGAGATAAGTGATGAAGAAGATGGTGTTGCAGTGGAGGAAAGCAAGAATGTTGAGGACATGGCCTTGGATGAGAAGGAAGGGATTGCATTGAAGGAAGGGGAAGAAAAAGCTGATGGGGGAATTGAAGAAGCAAAGCCTGCAGAGGCTGCTGAGGCTGCTGAGGTTGCTGAGGCAGCTGAGGCAGCTGAGGGAGCAGAGGAAACAGCGAAGCCAAGCCAAACAAGCGAGGGATCACAAGGAGGGAAAAAGGACTCTGCTCCTGCATACAATGATGTGATTGAGGAGACTGCAAGCAAGTTGCTGGAGAAAAGGAAGAACAAGGTGAAAGCATTGGTTGGGGCATTTGAGACTGTGATAGATTATGAATCAGGATCCAAATGAACCCATTTACAATATGATGTTGTAAAATCTGTACTCTCTGTATATTGACTAATGTGGAGGATTAAAAGATTAAAAGAAAGAAAAAAATTGAATTGGACAGAAATGCTGACAAATCTTTCTATTAGCATTGGCATTTAGATTTAGAGGGTGTCATTGAATTTGTATGTTTCCCTACATGAAATTTGTTGATAGTACCTGTGTATTGATATATTATACAATTTGTACATTAATTATGCATTCTTTTTAGTAGTTTTAGCCTAATTTTTGCTAGCTAGTTAGATAATTATAGACAATCTGCATCTTCTATGTGAAGTTTACTGCATTGCCAGAATCAGTGAGCAAAATATTTTCCAATAGCTAATGAATGTCACACGCGTGTCGATTCGAAATTGGAATGTATACTGTGATCATAGATACACATATAATATCAAAAACAGAACTCAATAAATTGTATACATAAACGACCAATAGTTTTATTATTCAAGTTTGGAAACGTACATCCGAATTGCTTCCCATTTGAGAGAGCTGCCTGATAAAGTATCAGCAACAAAACATCGAAATCCCAATAAGAAAAAAAAAGAAAAAAAGAATTTAGAACTGAACTTTGCCATATATGAGATACTTTTCTTGGTGCCCCATACAGAGGCCAGGCCACCCTTTGTCTCTCACATTATCATCCTTGGTTCTTTGGCACACCATGACCAATTGACCATTCATTTTAGAAGCTTCCTTCATAATTAACTAATTTCTTCTAGAAGCTATCCCTTCTGCAATACCTTAACTCCAAAGAAACCTGTCTCTCAAACCTCAGCTGACGACGAAAATTCGCAATGAAAACATCAGCCCGGTGATCAACATCATCACCATCATCCGAAGCGCGATCATGGGTCCTTGTGCTAAGAACCCGTCTCAAACACCGATTCTCATCGGCCTTATCATCTTCAATGCAGCCATGCAAACCCAATCTGTCATTGAAGCTCAAGCACTGCCTTGCAGAAGCTCTGTTAGTACAAGCAAGGATTGAAGCCAATTTCAATTGGTTTAACTTAAAGTCAAGTAAAATGAGGTTTATTTTCTTCACTGCCCTCTTCAGGTGGCTTACAAGTGACGAGCTTTGCCTGCCCATTTTTGCTGTGGTCTTGTTGGAGTGAGAAGCTGATGCAAAATTGTTGCAGAAGGAGTGAGGGGTGAAGGGTTTTTATAGGCATGGGAGAGAAGCTTCTTGAGCAAGCAACTGTTTGGTTATGTGGTTTACTAGAAAGCGTGTTGGAAATGATTAGGCGACGCGTGTTTGAACGTGAAGGCTACAGCTTCCAGCTATTTGTTAATTATTATTTTTTATAAAGAATTACAGCTATGTAAATTGTGTATGAAGTACATGGGAAGAGAGAAGGGAGGGTGGTGGCAAGTGTGACAGAGAGAAGCAGAAGAACATAAGCTTGGTTTTTTGTTTTGTTTTTCTGTTCTTTTTGTTCTTTTGCTAATGAAGAAGAAGAGAATCGTTGTCATGGGGCCCACTGCTTGCTAATTAAGTTTTGCACTACGGGAAATTTGAAGGTTGTGCTGGCTAAAAAGCCTAAATGGCTGTAACTTGCAACGGCTCCAATTCTTGAGGTATATAACAAATATCCTGTTTCCATAAACTTTAAAAATTGATATGACTTTTCACTAATGTCTTGGTTATAAACTTCAAAAATTTATGGCGTTTCTGGATTTCAAAGGTCATTTGAAACAACCCCCCTAATCCCTTTCGGGAAAAGAGAAAAAACACCTATTCTACTTTTGGGTTGGTAAGAAGGCGATCATGTCCTGTTTTTCTTAAAGCCATGTTTCTTTTGTTTTCGTGTTTTTTGTGTTACCAAATACAGAAGAACAGAACATTAGAGCTCACCTTGAGCTAAAAGAAACACGGAAACAGACGAAACACAAAGCTTTAAGCACACGAGTTATATTGAATGCTCACACGGTTCTAAGTGCATCATAATTTACTTTTCTTTTCTCTTTAGTTATAGAAACATCATCACCAATATGAAGAGTGAGCGAAAGCAAAGTAGTTTACTTGTGAGGCAGCTAAATGAATCTTCAACCCCATTTTGGGGATCATCAAGAGCAGCAGATTATAGAAATTATTTAGAACAAAATTGTATACGAAACCAACAGGACTGTCATGTGAATTTCCATAATGAGAAAAGCTGAACAAATTTCGGCTTATCAGGATCGGCTACTACTACAATTTCTCTCTAAAAACCCGGAAAGAGAAACAAAACTCTAAAAACTGGGAGTAACTGACAAAAACGAGAACATTCCCAAGCTGGTTTACGAGCTTCAAACTCAGGAGTTTGCAACCAACCGCTCCGGAACATCAACATGAGAGCTTTGTTCTCCAATCCTTGCACCTTCCTCATCAGCTACTTGGTTGTCAGCTCCTTCCTCAATCTGTTTTAGTTTGTTCGACCAACCGTACATCTCTCTCCTGACGTCCCTCTCGTCTAGTTTTAGTTGTTCGAATTTCTGTTCCAAATTGGCTTCGGCTTCAGGTTTAATTAACGCAACTGGCGTCTGCCCAACCTCTTCATAAAGCTTTTCAATTTTGGCTTTCCAGACGAGACCCATTTCTGTATCCATCCTCTGGTAAGGAGTTTTCAGAAAGTACTCATCAATCCCACCTGCTTTGTCTATGCAACGGAGAGCATGGGTGGTGACTTTTACTCGAATGTGACGGTCAAGGATGTAACTGAAGAGACGCTTCTCCTGCACATTTGGCTTCCATGTCCTCCTTGACCTGTCACCGCCAACAAAGGAAAGTTCCGGCGGTTAATATGACCCATTTTCACAAATTATTACAAGATTAAAGAACCTAGTAATTCAAAATCAGCGTCATATAAGCCAACCCTGTTCTATAAATTGCATTGAATATACTCTGAGAAACTGTATAGCATGCTACACCATGCCAAATTCTAACAAAACAAAAAAAAACCCATGTAGACCCGGCCACAGCAGACAAATATAAAACTTGTACACTTTAAATACTTGTCTGGCACTTGTCCAGATTCTGTAGAATCCTTATGATAACGCATGATACGTTTTGCCAATGATTCAGCCAGCTCAAGCCTTAGCTCAAATAGCTTTGAGAATACAATTTCTGAAGCAACAATGGTTATAAAATGGCAACCCACAAGTTTCATACCTCAGCTTGGTATATGGTACACACCTCAACAAACCTTTACTCCTTACAAAACAAAATACTTAGAAGCATATAATACAAAGCATTCAAAACAGTCACTACCCGGCTAACTAAAATGAAATTAAATCAAAATCACTGATCAAGTCCAAGATTTTGGGTTTAGACATTACAAATGGATAAAAAGTTCTGTAATTTTTAGCATTGCCTTTGTCATGGATTGAAATTAGGGCAAAATTTCAATTTTTCAATAAGCAGAGCTAAATCTTTGGGATTAAAATTGAAAAGGCAAGAGAAATGAGAAAAATACGAACTTGTTGCCACCGTCTTCACTGATTTGATTGCCAAACTGGATGTGGCAGCCAGCGTAGATGCCACGTTTGGCCCGACCCATAATGATTTTGGAGTTGGGTACGCCTTGCTTCTTGAGCTCCTCTCTCAATCGCGGAGGTAGGGTTTTGTCTCCCATTATGCCTTTCTTCTTCACCTCCTCCTTCAGTCGCGGAGTTAGGGCTTTGTCTCCGAATTTCCTCATCATGCTCTTGATCGTCTCCTTCCCTTTGAGCGCCATTCTCACTCACTGTGTCTTCGTTAATTAGGGTTTTGCAGTGGCCAGTGGAGGGTTCAATTCATTTCCTGTGTTTCTCAGTGGCTTGCCTTGCGTTTTGGGAAGCGGTAGCACAGTGGCTTTTTTTTTATCTTTTTTATTTTTTTGGTAAAATCTACTTATGTCAGTTGCATCAACGGCTCTGATTATTTTTGCTTTTACAAAATAGATTATTTGATTCTTAAATCTTTAATTGAATTTGGGCTGATGGAAGCCTTTGATAAAAATGCTTCACATTGGTCTTTTTTTTGGGGTCAAGTTTTCTGCATCACCTATTGAGATTTTCTGAAATACACCATTAAGATTATGAAGAAAAGAAATATGTCAATTAAAAAATTGGAAAACGATCTCAAATATTCAATGTATTTGGGTTACAAAGCCCAAATAATGATTCATGTTTATCAAGCTATGGGCCTGCTTAAAGATTCTTGAATATGCGAGTTTCACATGGGTGCACGTTGATTAATATGAATCTCACAGTCAATCTTACATGACGGTCTTACAGTCTCACCCAAGAATTACCAGAATTGCATATACTCGTGTTAACAGATGCTAGTAAAATTCCAAAATACTAACAGCCTCGTTCCTTGAATTTACCCTCTTGAGCTGTTTTCTGGTAAGGCCAATGCATCAGCCAAAACAGCTATTATTGCCACAAGACTTTATAGCAGGGTATAAACAAGCACCTTTCAGGATACTATTTTCACTGCAATCATATTTAATCATATTTATATAACAAAAATTGAATTTACAAGGAGACTATAGTTTCATGCTCTGTAGATTGTTAATCAGGTTTCTACCTAAAGAAAGTTTCAGTCCTGGCGTTTCTGGTGTAACAAGATTACACAGCTGTTCAGCTGTAAAAACACCAACTGCCCTCAATCTTGAAGGAGTACCACCATATACTGAGCTGTGGTTTATTAAAATAACCATTTTATATCTGTACTTCATAATCAGATCCACCACATGGCCGATCGATGTCCTAGTAGTAGCACAAGGAGGCGGTCTTCTCATCATCGACGAAAGAGGGGCGTTCATCTACGCAATAGTATGCAAACTTCCATTAGCTCAAAAACGTTAAACATATAGTTGTTAATACAAATGCTCATTTAATTGTTAAAATGCTATTTACAACACAACACAAAGCATTTGACTTGTAAATTTGCAATGTTAGGGAAAACATCTATCAGGTTTTGCTTGTACCCTACGGTCCAGGATAAAATGCAATTTATTTCTACCATCAGCGAATAGTAAATACCTCTCTACAGTCTTCACGGTGCAATACTCCGATGCAGCTACCCCAGTCATCTACAATGGGCACCACTGAATCCCTAAAGAAACGCATAACCACTTTGTTCAAGTGCAGGGTCCCATTTAGTGGCCGAGCTGCTTCAAAGGGCATCATGACACTCTCAATCGGTTCACTTGCCAATACCTAAATAGAAAAAGTGTACAAAGCAAACATATACAAAAATAATTAAAAGCCAATAATTGAGTACATTTCAGAATGTAAATCAGTAGTAGCTAAAGATATGAAAGTAGTCCCTTTATCATTAGTTTTGATTGATTTATAAATATCCCCCTTCCATAATTCAACTAGTCCTGGTTATTAAAGTATCTGAATTTATAAATATATTTTCACCACCAGAAATTCTTCATCAGTCCATTGAATTTTTAAAATCATATCCGGTCACACTTCTACTAAATTTGATATTCTACATTAAAACCACTCATGGTAGGCCCCTTAGCAATCATCTTACATGCACTGATACCTATATATGAAAGTATATTTGCCAGGTCATCAGGTTAGGACCTTAAGTAGCTAATTTTATCTACAATTTGAAAGGAAAATAAATGTATGAAAACCTGAGGAAGTAGATAAGGACTCAATCTTGATTTGGTGAATCCCAATAAGGCCTCTACGCGTAGTGCAACCTGCAGTGCAAGGGCATATTAATGAATTCATGCTAGGAGGACACAGAAATAATAATGTAATTGTAAGCATTGAAAACAAATAGAATTCTAAACAAAAGGCCTACTTAGTCAACTACTAACAGATACAAGAAGTAATATCGAACTAAAGTTTGTGAAATTCAAAGAAATAAGTCCAAATTTTTTATAAAAAATCCTTAAACAAGTTTCCTCAGTATCAATTTAAAGGGTCTAGAGAACTTGAAGAGCATAAAACCAACTGTGCAGCACCAACCCAGAATTTTTAGGCATATCTTTATGATATAACATTGTCATCCTTCGAAACAGTGCAGATTACCTACCACATCTAATCTTAATCTTCATAAATATTAAACAGTCATGGAGGGCAAAAGCACATTACATACCATGCCTCCTCGACTTGTCCATGATATTCTCTTCCACCTTGTAATAACATTTTCAAGGCATTTTATAGCCACGTCTACCTGAGAAAACCAAAAAATATAAAACAACAAATGGTCAAAGTCAGATTGCTCATGACAATCAAATGCAAAATTGAATTAATGCACTAACTTGATATACCATTTAGAGGGAAAAAATAACTAAAGGAAGGCAATGCTATATATCTTGTGCAGGACCTAGATATTAAAATCAGCATCCAAATGCCTCAAACATCATGAAGGTAAACAGTAAACAGGAATGGAAAGAGATTTATGCAGTAACACACCCCATACTGAAGATTGTGAAGAGTTGATATAGTACCTGACCACCATTTAAAGCTGCCTCCATGAGAAGATGATCAGCTTCCTCTTGAACCATTGGGGAGATAGTTCCAGCAGTATCTCGCCACATGTGATCTTTTAGATTTTCCACGGTGGTATAATCTCCTCTAACAGCAAAGGCACGCATGAAGGAAAGATAGAGGTGAGGTTTTGGTCGCAAGTCTGGATTTCCACCAGCCTGCTTTAGTATTTCTCCCAAAATGCATAAAGCACCTAAGCACAAGGACAAAATTTTAATTTGTAGAAGAGTAAGGATTGGTTTTAATTTCTGACACTTCAAAAATCCAGCATCCATCCAAATTTGATAAGAAAAGAAACATGAAATTTTAACCAGTCCAGCTTCCATGCGGCATACTTGGTGCAGCATTTAATGAGACCTCTAACAGAGAAAACTAAATGCAGAGTAATCTTGATGCCTACATCAGCATGAAAATGTACAAGCTCTATTCAAATTGCATCGTTTTTGCAGATCTTTACATCACCATCATACTTGACATTGGCAGATGGAAGAAGTCGCTTTTGTCCCTTCTTCATCATTTGATTGACAATATATTGAATTTTGCAATGTAAAAATGGAGGGCGTGCAACTTAAAACAATAAGGCAAATGTAAAGATGTAAACATTGGCAATTTCTGATAACTTAAAATCCTTGTATTGCAATCTACAACATACCCTTCATTGAGCCACAGCCTAGCAAAGCATCGACAGCTGCAGTGTATGCTGTTCGATCAATAAACAAACCGATATATGTTTTCATTTCTAATATAATCTTCTGAACTGAATTGATATCTTTGGAATGCCCAAAACCCTGCCAAAAGAAGACACACAAAAAGAAAAAGAAAAATCATAGGACTTTAAGGAACTGAAACATCAATTTACCAACAAGAGAAATATATAAAGTTTATACCTCAGGAGGTGGGGGGTGGGGCAGAACGAAAAATCTAGTTCTTCCATTCAGAAAAACGAAAAGGAAACTACTAATATAAAGTTCCTAATATCTTTTTTAAAAAAAAAAAAAAAAAAAAAAAAAAAAAAAAAAAAAAAGAGATTACCACAGAGACACAGAGAGATTAAAAGAAAAAGAATAAAGAAAAGTTTATAACCACAGTGGCTGTAAAAAATGCTAACATGCAATAATGAATATGTCATACAGTTGACATTGTTAAGAAAATACATTGAATAACTTGCAAAAATGAGCATGTCCTAAATTTCATTAACAAGGTTGTTGAAAGAAAAGTAAACGTACCTTAAGTAGTGTAGTGTAAGTGACGACATCTGGGAAAAGGTCCCCATGACTAAACTTCTGTGCTTCATCCTAAAACAAGGAGCCATATTTAGTAACTTAATCTACAACAATCTAATACTCTTAAAATATCATATACAGGCTCTAAACTGGCCTTTTATATAGCTTGGGACCTTCATTTCCTCAAAAAACTGCATTGCCATGTCCAACTTTCCAGCTTTTACACATGCAGATATTAGAGTATTATAGGTGAGCCTCTCAGGCTTTAATCCTAGACGTAATATCTCTGTGTGCATGGTTATCGCACCCTGAGGAATGCCTGCATTGATATATCCCTGAAAATCAGGAGCAGCAAACCCTTAAGGCACAACATTATCAACTATAATTATAAATCTAGGATCGTGCATACACAAAACGCTGTCTGTATGTTGATTGCAAAGCTCAGTTCTAAAAGTAGAAAAAGAAAATTCATACTTTAATTTGTTAAGTCTCTTAAAGAACTATATATAGGTCAGTGCAGAACCTTCATTAACAAGTTGTAGACTGTGAGTGTAAGACTGCCACCTTCGCGGAGAAGAAAACCATAGTGTGCAAGAAGCCCATTAGCACGGCGTAAATCTCCTGCACTACAGCAAGAAGCAAACAGCGCATGCACGTTTGTAAGCAACTAATTTGAGCTTAATAGTAACCAAAATGTACTGATCAGAAAACTGATCTTTCAATTGGGTGCCATTATTTTGGTCCTAACATTATAATAAGACAATGTCCACAAAGCACTTATTAAAGAGCATTGAATTGGTGATACAGACCTGCTTCAACTAGAGCATTGAGCAGACCAAAAACGAGAGGTGCTGACAACTTTGGACTTCCCACGGCAGTACCTAGCTCCACAGATTCAAGTACTTGAAACGCTTCATCAATTCTTCGAGCCCTGCCCAAACCCTTTCAACAAGGCACCCAAATCACTGATAACAAATCCATGGGAAGCAATAAAAAAATTTATTTTTAAAAAATAAGATAAAAAAGTACCTTCAAAAGGGTACCATATGTGACAGTATCGACGCCGCAGCTTCCTGGGTCAGACATTTCATCAAACACCATAAGAGCAGAGTCGATATCGCCGCAATGAACACATGCCTCGACGACCGCATTCATCACAATGGTGTTCAGCTTCCCGTATCGTTCTTTGGCCATCTCTATCTCCTCCATTATCTGCAAAACAATAAAATCAAGAAGAAGAAAAAAACCCATCAATGCAAAACAGAAATATATATATTTCGAGAAAAAGAAAACAGGGTTGTGGAGAACAGGACCTGGTGAAGCTGTCTCCGGCGAGTGAGTTGGACGACGCGGGAGGTGAGCCGCCTGAGATTGGGTTTGCGGGGAGGGGCGGTGCTGATTCGACGACGCCGTAATGGATAAGAAGAACAAACAGAGAACGAGGGCGAGAAGGCTTGCATTGTATATGGTGAAAAGGCTCAGAGCTAGCCATCGGCCATGGATCTCTCTCTACAGATAATGTCAGTCTGAGACTGAAGTTGGGAGCTTTTAGCTTATTGGCGGGTAAATTAGTAGGTGCACTGTTTTGGGCTTCTAGATCAGTTCAGGCCCAGTCGGCCCACATAGGCCCATCATGGTCCAATAAGTAACCTTTCCTATATGGTAAAAAAAATAACAAAAGGTTGCCTGCTTAAAATTAGGGCATTATTAGTAGAGTGAATTGTTGTTAACCCATCAGGTCATTGGTTAGAACCCCTGCGTGTGTAATCCCCCTCTCTTGTGTGTAATCGCTTCTACTCAAAATAACAAAAATAAAAAAAGGGTAATAAAAATGAAAAGCGAATGTAACTCGAGTAGTTAGAAGCACTTAGTCATGCAATTAAAAATGAAAACCATGATAATGCCAACTCACTAGACTATTTGGTATTTTCTATCAGACTATTAATGCGAACACATTCAGACGAAGTGAATACCTAATCAACTGTTTAGACTGACAATCGAACATAGAATGTCACTTTTTCGAAAGAGAATATTTTATATTTGAAGCATAGACAAAATGAAATGGGGTTGAAACACGAGGTGAATGCGCAGCGGTGGGTACACAATGAGATGTGAAAATTGACTAAACTTATCATGCAAAAAGCTACTTGTTCTAGGTGAAAACACATTTAAGGCAAGCTACGCCTTCATTTTTTTACTACAAAGGTGGTATTCTCGTGCCCAAAACTGTGCCCTTTCAGCCATTTTCAGACCACCTTTTTTGTTTATAGGCTATGCCTAGAAAATAGCCGACATCATAATCAACTTTTTGAGCTTCATGCTCATCCCTCCAATTTGAGGTAAAAGCAAACTTTTCCTCTTTTCACACCAGGAGGACAGAACCAAGTGGGTGGAGTTGGAAAAGCTCCTTATTTGTTTGTCATTTTTCGGAATGACCCATGTACTTTTTTAATTGAGGTGTTCAAAACTGACCCAAATAACCAGCGGAAACAGCTCATGGAAAACTGGGAAAAGCTTGCTATTTTCTATTTTCCAAATAAGCAAGAAAACGACATTAACCTTTAATTTTTTATTTTATTTTGTCGTGGACGAAAAATTCTTTACTTTTATGCGGATTTTTCCAAAGTTCGCGTGCTTTATTCATTTTCCATTTTGTGTTTCTTTCTTTCTATCAATTTCACCATTTAAAAATAATAATCTAATCTCTCAACCCGTGTTCACACGAGGCTTTCTTTTATGCAAATTTGCGTATGTTATGTTAAGAAAAAGTTACTCAAATCAGGGAAATTTTATAATGAGTATTTAAGTTAAAGATTTGTTACATATTTTTAATTTCAGGCATTGAATTGCATTCACTGATATGTTAGTAAATTTAATATGCAACATATAATTAATGATCGATATTAAAAATATGTAACCAATCCTTAATATAAAATACTTACTAAAAAATTTACCTATCAAACACTTGATAAGGACATGTAAGCGGTCACCTCAAGTTTTCAATGACACATAAATATATTGGAGTAGTAAGTATGACTACCTGGAGCCTAGCTTCATTTATTCATTGATTGAAATAAATTGCACATCAATTTTAATGTGCAAGGACAAAATGCCGATGAAATTTAGGAACTGTCTTAAAAAGAAAGGGTGCTATGGCAGTTGTGGTGATGGACGTATTAGAGCGATTTCACTGATGCCGGGGGGGGGGGGGGGGGGGGGGGGGGGGGGGGGGGGGGCTTGTTTCCAGCAGTAAGGGCTAGTCCTGGTAGGAGATGAGGCCCACGAACCCAGGCTAGCCCTCAAGCAAGATCTGCCTTAGTTCCAGCCCCAGTTTGCTAACTTCAGCAACAACAAAAAATTTTAAAAACTTGAAAAAAAATCTACAAAAAATTTCATATATATATTTTAATAAATACTTAGTTGTAGTTTTCACTTTCCACACCAAAACTCTATACAAATTTCTCTCCTCATATCTCATGTGAATAGTTGTTGTCATGACAATTGGTGGAAACACCACAACCTTTTGTAAGGGCATTAACTATTTACGTGAATAGTGGCTGCCCTAGGCCCCCTCCTCTTACCATGACAAAGGGCAAATTGGTAGAGTTGCTCTTATATACATGGATGAACCCAGGGGCCTTGACAATGAAAGCACCAAATGCCTTGTGTGAATGGAATAGCCATCTTGCTCCGGAATAAATTCTTGTGTAGCCTACGATTGCCCCAATCGATAAGTCTCTCACGGAGAATGAGAGCATGCATGTGAACCACACTCGTGGGTCATGTCTTTGTAAGGGAGTCATCGCATAGGGAAAAACTTCTCTTCTCTTGCTCCCAATTTCGTTTATGTTGCTCAAAATGAAGAATAAATTGAGAAACATAAAAGAGGATATCGGGAACTTTTTTTTTTGACAACGAAGAAAGTTTTATTAGAGACGAATAGCTAAGTTTACATCACTAGCTAAAATATCAAAAATCCACTCGGGCCACACTCGGTCCCAAATGTGGTTACCACCTACTCTAGACACAAAGGCCGCAACCTCGTGCGCCGCCTTATTACACTGACGGGGAGTAGCTAAAAAAACAACCTGTTGGAGCCTGCCAGCAAGCACCTTAATATCAAACATCATAGCCTCCACCGCAACATCGACTTGACACTCCCCTCTAAGCATCTGGATCAATTTCATCGAGTCAGATTCAATCTCCACATACACCTTGAAAATAAAATTGTGTTCAAATTAATAACTTCGTTAGACGTTCTTGAAAGTAACAAATTAGGATTGTGTGGCGAAAGAATATTTATGATAAGATACTTATTCACTAAGTGAAGGGTCACAAAATTAAGATGTCTTAATCAAACCATAAAGAAATGGGCCTACAACTAGTATTATAGTCATTCTCATTAAAGCAAATGGGATCATAAGTCTCTCCCAGTTAGTTCATCTTCACACCTATTACATACCCCACAACTCTCATCTTTTTATTCCAATCAATCATCATGCACCGCTAGGTATTCCAATTGGATCTAACCCACCTCAACCCAAGCCATCCCCTAATCCCATACACCCCTTTTAAAACCCCAAAAACAAGTCCTTTACACATCTTCTTATTCTTCATTTTTTTATTCTTTAAAACCCACAAATTCAAGTATTCAGAGAACCAACCACCAATTTCTGTCTCTGTGTAAAAAGAAACTCTGAACCTGGTTCTACTGAAACTTTCGTTTTGTTGCTGTTTGTTTAATCCACACAAGTCTTTTTCTTTCGGATCTGCCGGTGTGTGTTCTCAAGTTTTGTGCCGTCACTTCTTTGCCTTACTTTCCGGTTTCTAGATGCGCGCGCACACAAAAAAACAAGCACCACCCAATCACCCAAATGCCTTAAACAAATCCAAATTTTAAGATCAAATTAAACAATTGATCATCCATTTTCAAGACCTTTGACGACCCAATAATTCTTCCCACCTTTCTCCACAAAGTGAATCTTTGCTTCGTCATCACACTCCTTAATTTGATCTACTTGATATCTTTTTGTCACTATAAATAGTCGCATAGAATATGCTACAAGATCATCAGCTAGTCCAAGTGTCGAACACCCTAGCTACTCACTCTTAGATCCATAAATTCTCCAAGAAATTCAATTTTTTGACAATTTCTTCATCTGGGTAGTTTATTTATACTTCTAGATTAGAAATTCGCAGCTTGTTTGTGTTTGTGTTTGATTTCCATCAATGGCGGCTGTGAAATCATCGTCTTCATCGGTATCAAACCCAGTTTCTGATCAATGTTCTGACCAAGAAAGCAGCAAAAAATCTGAGCCATTAATTCCGGGGTTACCGGACGAGATTGCCGAGCTCTGCCTTCTCTACCTTCCCTACCCCTACCAAGCTCTGGTGCGTTCGGTCTCTGCTTCGTGGAACAGAGCCATCACAGACTCTAGCTTCGTTCGCTGCAAGAAATCTCTGTCTCTTCCTCTGCCTTATCTTTTCGTCTTCGCCTTCAACAAATTGACGTCCAGGATTCAGTGGCAGGCGCTGGACCCTCGATCGGGCCGTTGGTTTGTTTTACCTCCCATGCCGTGCCCCAGGGCCGCCTGCCCACCGGGCTTCGCATGCACATCACTGCCACGTCAGGGGAAGCTCGTTGTCTTGGGCGGCGTGCGGTCAGACTCAGAATGTTCTACGCGCACCACCATCGTGTACCGTACATCTACAAATCAATGGTCAACAGCCGCTCCAATGCGGACCCCACGATCATTTTTTGACGCGGGAAATATCAACGGTAAGATCTTGGCAGTTGGCGGTGGTGAGGCCCGCAATGGTGATTTGACTAGGGCCGTAGACTGTTACGACCCTGAAAATGACATGTGGGTGGCGTCTGCCGCGCTGCCCACGAGTCTAGCCAAGTATGACTCCAATGTGGTGGGAAACAAGATGTACGTCACGGAAGGGTGGATGTGGCCGTTTATGCTTTCTCCACGTGGCGTGGTCTATGACCCGGACGAGGACACTTGGCAGGAGATGAGGCGGGGGATGAGGGACGGGTGGACGGGGGTTAGCGTGGTGGTGGGTGAGAGGTTGTTGGTCATATCGGAGTACGGGGATTGTCCGATGAAGGTGTACGATCCAGATGAGGACACATGGCGGTATGTGAGTGGGAACAAGTTCCCATGTGAGGCACTGAGACGGCCTTTTGCTGCGAGCGGGGTGGAAGGGAACATATATGTGGTGGCATGTGGGTTGAATGTGGGAATAGGAAGGCTGTCTGAGTGTGGAGGAGGAAAGGGTGAGCTAAAAGTTGAGTGGCAGGTTGTGCCAGCTCCAAGTGCTTTTAGGGGCTTCTCTCCTTCTAGTTGTCAAGTGCTTTATGCCTAAAATAATTGAGTTTGATCAATTATCGTTTATATCTGTTTTTGGCCCCGTTAGTCAATTTTATTTTAAACTATGCACAACCCAACTTCTTTTAATATTCTACACCTAGGCTCAACATTTGCTTTGCTCTTCTACATAGACGGAGACATACAGTGGCACTTTTTCTCAGGTTTGTTTGACCACTTCGTTGAGCCAAACTTATTCCCGTTACAATCAAGTTTTTCTCCTATTGGTGGCCTATGAAATCCGTCATATCTTATCCAAATCTTGTAGAATATTTTGCGTTGGCTCCAAATTAAAGTTGCTAATAGTGAAAAGAGAAAAAAGCATCATAACCATTCTTGAGGGTTTGAAGAGTTGGACGATCTTTTTCATGCCTTTAATTATTGGATAGAAAATTCAAAGAAATCCAGTTAAGGCCAAATTTTTTGAATAAGATTGTGAAACACGCACGGGTCTCAGAGCTTTTACTTTATGCTTTCGATTGGATTTGAGCAAATTGAGTTGATTATATTGGACATGCGTCATGATGTTTCAGAAAAGCTTTGAGCTGGGTTTGAGGCAAGTTTCCATCAACAGAGCAAATTAAGGAATAACCAATAAAAAAAGGACAGAGCACTGTTTGTTTATCCATCACTTACGTCAGAAAGGGATGCTGAATAAGCATCAACGCGGTTAAATATGGCATAAAATTCTCATCTTATGTAAAATTGAAATTGTCACGTCTGGGGTCTAGAATCTTCTACATACGCGCTTATTACACAACAATTGGACCTTTCTCCACCCTTTCCTGGTCCCAAACTTCCAGACTAAGCTATAACCTTGAAAAAATCCCAAAAGAAACCTACCTATATAAACATGAAGCCTTGAAAATCATATCTGCCTACATCAATTATCTTACCAGCAAAAAAAACAGCTTCAGCTTAGTTTCGTCAGCCTTGAAATATACCAAAAACACAGCAACCCGAGACAGAAAAGAAGGAAAGACAGAAAGGGGCAAGCAAACCAGAAACCCGGAAAGGCTCGAGGGGGTTAAAGGAAGAAGGAACCATGTGTTTCGTGTTTGTGTGTGGTGAAGATGAGACGGTGCTTTCAAGGCAACCAGCACCAGGGGCATGCCCCTACTGTGGAGGAATGGTGCAAGCCATGGATGTTGAGAGTCAGTGGACGTTCTGCTTCCTGCCTCTCTACTGGAAGACCAAGCGCAAGTTCTACTGCACCGTGTGCACTAGGCGCTTGGTAGTGCAGTGATATAAACCCACATCATAAATACAGAGATTGCAATTTGTGCTCGTGTATATATATATATAGCAGTATATATGTAATATGACTTTTTGTTGTTACTGAGAAACAAAATGACAGGCTCTATTTACATGCTTGCGGCATTTTCGTGGAGCTCTTTCTAGATTTCGTTTGATTGGTCTTATTAAAACTAAATTGAAACGCAATCTAGTTTCTATTTCTTATAACCCATCGAGATTGCCATGTCCGCCGGTTGATCTACAACCAGCAAACAGTTTCATGGTTTCTCTTTTGGGTATTTCTTGCAATTGAAAACATCAGAGAGAAGTATGTTTTAAAAGTTTACAATTGCTGAATCCCGAGGGCCAAAGAGTGATGAATATCAAAGCTCATAAGAGACAATTCTGTTTTCCCTAACCCCAGAAAACATTGAAAAGCCCATTTCCTCTCAAGTTTCCAATTTCATAAGGGCAAACACAAAACAGAGTCCCATAGCAAAGCCCCACAATTAGACCGTTAATCAACTGTATGTATTCTAACTTTCCCAACATAAATAAAGGGCAAGCAAAACTGCAAAGCTTTAAGAATCAGTTCATAAATGAGAGGATTTTCCTTGGAGCTCATATACTAATCGTAGCTATGGATTAATGGGATCAATAATCACATCACTTACAGAGTTTCAACTTTTTAAAATATGCCGACACCACGGATTTGGGGTAAGGTTTTGTGGCGAGACAAGTTGGGTAGTTTTCAGGTTGTTCAATCCACAGTTTGTGTGCTATGCCACCAGCTGTGAGCTTCTCGGACAAGTTCAATATCTGGGGTTCTCCTTTCACCTCAAGAGTAACCTGCACAATTTGATAAGACTATTGTAATCACTACTTTTAAAGCAATTGCAGCCAACAAATTCCAGCATACAATGACCAAATTTACAAACCCCACTGATCGGTTAACAAGAAAATTCCCACCCAACTTGAACCCAAATTTTCTGGCATTGATCTCAATGACCCAATTGAATGAGCAATGATTTTAACCTATGCAACCTCATATTACCTACTGTTTCATACAATTTCTGCACACAAGTAGAAGAAAAAAAAACGTAGTGTATGCAAAAACCCTTCTGAGCACAATGAAGAAATGCAACATGAACATCACCATTACTAAGAATCACACTTTCCCTTCAACATTTGGAACCAAAAACATCATGCAACTTCAACCCAGAAATCAGAAAATGTTGCTCCTTTATGGTGCATCACATTCAAACCCAAGTTTAATAATCAAAGCACCATAAAGGAGCAAGCTTTACAACTTACCTTGTGCATAGAGTCGATATTTTCTGGGCTGCAGTACTGGAGGGTGTGAGGGTCGTCTTTGTGGGACCAAATGGCGGATACGGAGGCATGGCAGCCCTGTGTGACCACGCTCCCCGTCGGCCAGGTGTCGATTAGGTCACGGCGGAGCACCACGTACTGAACCAGGACGTCCGGGGGGATCTCGGATTTCGAGGTGTCCGAGTTGGCTTCGGCGGCGGGTTGACTCATCGAGTTTCGGACGAGTCGACTCGTGGGAACGGCCGCGTTGGAAGAGAGTTTGGCCCCAAAACCAATTGGAGGTTTTGAGATTGAGAAGGAGAGCGTGAGATGGGAGTGGGAGGAGGTGCAACGAAGTGGCGCCACAAGGCACGCCATGGTATAATTACACGTTGGAGCATCTACATCCTGTCCTACTTCATGCTTAATTTGATGTGTTTTTTTTCCTTGTAGGGCCTTAACTTGATGTTTTTGGATGTTGCCTGACTTGAGGCCCAACCCAAGCTCAATAATAAAATTATTATGGGCCCGTTTGAGACTCTTTACGTAGGAAATTATTATGCACATAACAAGTTTTTGCTAGAATCACTTTTGTTTTTTTCTTTCTTTGTTGCTAGAAAAATATGTTACGTGCTTCATCATAAGCGCTTTTATTAAAAGCATTGAACTGTTAATTAAGTTTCAGGGGCTTTGTAAAGAATCACTTGTTTGGTGCTTCACCCTAATCGCTTTTACATGTTGAAATGTTTGTTAAAATATTTTAATACTTCATGAAGAATCACGTGCTAGGCACTTCACCAAAATCACGTTTATTAGAGACATGATGAAATGTTGATTACAAATTTAGGTGCTTCGTCAAGAATCGCGAATTGATGACTTCCACCACGTCAAGGTGACACTTTACTACTGAGTTATATCCATTTCCATGTCCTTGCCCCCCTATCGGGAAATATAATTGACTAATCCTATGGTCGAGAAACTCAACACCAGTATTCTTGATTGGAGTCGAGCTTTCTTTTCATATTATTACGAGCCTTGAGCCAATAAAGACTGAGAAGGTTGACTCATGAATAAATTTCATTAAGGGCTTTGTTGTAGAATTCAGACCTAACCATTAATCGAGAAGTGGTGGGGACAACAAAACCTGGTATAAAACGTTTTTGATATCTACGTACACAAGCTTCAACTAGGCTATATTAGGTTCAGCTCGAGTTCGATGATCTGCCATGAGTTGAAAGATACTTTGGCTCATGGCCTGGCCCAACCTAGGTACCTTAATGGGAGGTGATTGGGCCAATCGGTCTCACGTGGAGCCTAACCCAAGACAAATCGACCTAGCCAGGTTTATTTTACTAACTGGATATTGGTAAGATAGCTAAATGGAAATTGGAATCGAAATACTTTTAGGAAAAGAAAAAAACAAACAAAAAACACACACCCACACAAGGGTAACCGAAGCAGTCGATATTTGACTCCTACACCTAAAAACGAGGTCGATGATGAGCATATGACACATTTTTAAGTTTTAGTTCCTCCTCCAGAAAAAAAGATTCTGGTGACTTCCGAAGTCAGGTTTTGGTTTCTATCAGTTTCTGTTTCATATGTCTGCTTGTTTGCTGGCTTTCCTCGTTTGCACCGACCAAACAAAAATCCTTGAAGCTGTAAGCCTGTAACCTAATCAATCAGAAATGACTTCGAACCATTTCAGTATCTTTGTGATATGATCGAGTTGAAGTCAATAAGTCTTTGGAGAGAAAAAGTACTTTCTTTTTTCCTTTTTTCCTTTTTTTAAGGAACAGGATAAAAGATCTGTAATATTTTAAACCCTATGTTATACATACCAAAACCTGACCAAGATAATTGATTGAGGGGCAAACAGGTCTTTTACTCTTGAGATATCCGATTCAGCAGATCATGTATATCCATTTCCTATTAACACCAAAAAATAAATAAAAAATAAAAACAATAATCCAAAAGATAATGGAGATAATATTTACTAAAACATATATTTTATATAATTTTTTTCTGGGTGGACATAGAAACAGACAGACCCTCCAGCCAACAACCCTAAAACAAGAAAGAAAAGAAAAAAGAAAAAGAAAACCAAATAAGCCACCCAAGTTGATGTTGTTAATGGTCTTGCAGATCTGAAAGGCAATAGCAACTTCTTGACTTGAAACTCTTGAGCCTTCTGTCAAGCAAATTCTTTGGGGCTCTTCTGTCTTGCTGTTCCTTGTCATCAGATGAAGATTGGTCTGATGATGGGTCTTGCTGTTCTTCTTGTTCCTGCTGCTGTTCATCATCTTCTTCATCTTCTTCATGTTCAGCTAGGGCTAGCAAAGGCATGGACTTTGGGTTGGGCCAGTTGTAGAAAGATGAAGACTTTCTTGACCATTTGGAGGCAATCAAAACCCTCCTCCTCTTGTTGAATGGGTTGTCTCTCTTCTCCACCTCCTTCACTGAGCTCACAGAGCTCACTTCTGACAGACTTGCAAATGACTTTGATTTTCCTGAGAAGTAATTGGATAATCCCCTCCTGCATAAACATTTAATTTTATATATTAAAAAAAAAAAAAAAAAAAAAAAAAAAAAAAAATCAACCAAACAAAAACTAAATCAAGCAAGTCATTAATCAGTCATTAACAACCACTAATTAAATTAAATAATTAATTATTACCAGGATCAAAACTGAAATTCAACAAAGATGATCACTTCAAGCCAAAAACAAAAATGAAAATTTCATGTTGCAGATCTAAACAGTGACTTACTTGATTGGAAGAGACTCTTCTAACGAACCAAAGGACCCCAGAGAACCCAACCCTCCTCCGCCTCCACCGCCGTTAAACTTGCTCTGCACCTCCTCGCCGTCGCCGTCGCCATCATCTCCTTTGGAATCGTCTTCTTCGCTGTCGTCGGGAGCCCCGATCGAGGACGAGCTGTCTGAGGAAGCCTCCTCGGACCTCGGCCGCGCCTCCACGTTCTGCTTCACGAAGAGACGGCCGGGGCCGTCCCCGATGGAGAAGGCGGGGCCCACCAAGACATCCATTCAACGGAGAGGTTGCTATTTGTTTGTTCGGTCTGGAAACACAGCAGCAGTAATAACAAAAGAGGATATATAGTGTGTTGCTGTTGCTGCTGCTGAGGCGGCGGTGATGGAAAATTTCGGATTTACCCCTCACCGCTGCGACGTCGTCTTCGTTTGAGCTTCCAGATTACGGGGCTTGTTGTCATCAATTGGAAAAAAGGAGGAGAAGAAGAAGACGGTGAAGCAGAGTCATAAGACAGAGAGAGAGAGAGAGAGATGGAGAGAGAAGCCTTGTGTTGTGTAATTAAAGAGAGACAAAGAGGAAGAGGGGGGCGGGGGGTGCGCAGGTTAAGGAAGAGGCAGGGGGTGGAGGATAAGCCAAAACCCAACCAAAAAAGAAAACGTAAAAAAAAACAAAGAGAGGTAAAATGGTACAATTAGACAGCTATGTATATAGACAACAGTAGTCACAGGGCTCACAACAAAAACGCAACACATGGACATGAAGTGCTGGGGTGCGGTGAGTAAATTGGTGGGTGTGTTTAGAAGAGGAAAGGCTAACGTCCGCCGTCGGCGAAATAGGGAATCACGCGCTTTGACACGTTCGTAATTACGTGGCAAAGACAGTGACCAGAAATATCCACTCTAACTTATCCTGTTGTTCACTGTCTTCTACACCCTTCCACTTCGTTCCCTTTTTAAAACAAAAAAACAAAAAAACATAGATATATAAATACAAAATACAAAACCCTTTTCTTTAATTTTAATTTATTTTTTGTTTTGTCCCGCTTGGTTTTCCTAGACAAGGTTTTAATGATGCCTCGTTTGTTCGCTCGAGTCTGTGACCTTTCACAATTTTAATAAAAATTTACTACTTCCTCTATAAAAAAAAAAAATTGGTATTTCAATTTACCCCAGCAATTATTAAGTAATGTGATGTCTTTGTGGAGAAAATAAAACTATCTATTGCAAATCTTCTATTTGGTGATAACGTATCTTTAATTAGGTCAAATATGTACACTCTAAAGAAATTGTACCAATATCAACATTAGTTTATCTTATCTTCTCCTCCATATTTGGTATAAAGTGCTTAATTATTGGCTATTATATCTATTTGTATGGTTTTCTTAAGGGAAAATCAATCTGCTTTGTTTAGCTTTATTACTTTAGTTTGTCATCAATCAATCCTTTTGGTCACATGCTCAATCAAAGACTTAATACAAAAATCTGTCACTAATTATCCACCTTCTAGTCTGAGAACATAATATGTGAAATTAACTCATAAAATTGATTCATTGTTACATTTTTTTTTGGTTTTGGTTTTTTTTTTTTTTTTTTTTTTTTTTTTTTTTGGTTTGGTGGCACCGTCATAAGGTGGCTTGTCTAGTTTGAGTAGGGAAAATGTAACGAAACGTCTACATGAGGTCGGGTAACCTTTTGATTGGTTACTTTCGACCATTTATGGAACGCTCTATGTAATATTGGCTAACTTTCTGATTGGTTACTTTCGACCACTAAGAGAGCGTTTTGACCATTCAGAGAACACTTTTTATATAATATCGGCCGACTTTCTGATTGGTTATTTTCGAGCACTCATAAATTTTTCTTTCGTGATCATCTTAAAATAAGAATCAATCACAGATAAAACCCTCACCCGATGTAACCAAATGTATTTGTGGAGTCAGTTAGCTCCTAATTGGTTACTTTATACCATTGAGAAAAATGTGAATGTTTTCTTTAACAAATGAATCTTTTTCATTATTGTTTCAAAAATAAACCAGTTATAGATGGATTAAGCAAGAGCTTGACATATTTTTTATTCACAATATTAACAAATGATCTATTAAATTTATGATCGTAAGAATATACCAAAAATATTTGAAATTTAAAATAAACTGAAAATCCTATTTGATATTGTGAATACATCAGCAAGCAACTGAGGACGGAAGTGAGAAATAAAAGCATCCCTATCCATTTTGCCAAAAGGATATGAAAATCTTCAAAGTTCCTATCCATATATATATAGCTTCTCGGGGAGCTGGATCTTTGTAGAGATAATTATTTTGATTGATATTCTTCATTTGTTGCAAAATCAAAATCAATGCATAATAAATCAGATGATATTAATATTTAGTCACATTTACTTACTTGTTTTTCTTGCCCTCTACGTCCGTATACATATCACTGATTTATGAATGTTGCCAGAGAAATACAATCAAATTAATTATGTCCAACATTGTTTGTTATATGTCTTGTCTTGCAAAAATTGTCAAAGGGTTTTACGAGTTTTCAAAATAAATAATGTTACTCTTATCACATTTGTATACCACATTCTTATATCACCTTATGTGGCAGATGAGGTGGATAGCCACATCAATTAAAATTAATTTAACATTTTCTTTTCTTTTATGATTTATTGACACTTTTTAATTGATGTGGATATACACCTCATCTGTCTTCTAAAGTGATATACAAATGTGATAAGAGCAGCATTAAATATAGAAATTAACAAAATAAAAGAAAAGGGACAGAAAAGGGACAGCATTAATTATAATTTAATTATTTCCAACTTGACAATACTATAAAACAATTTTGACATCATCGTTGTAGTGAAGTTTATATTTCTTAATATTTTGTATCCATGAACACTCAACCTTGCACATCAAATTACCTTTTGTAAAACATACAATTTGGACCACCCTATCTATTTAGGCCTTATAACATATCTAGGCCCCCTAATGATAAGTATGTTTTAACTTATGAATAAGCAAAGTTAATTTGCACAAAATTATGATAAAGTAAGCAATAGTTACCTAGAAAATCACCTAAACCACTTATAATTAGGACTTGCCAATAGGAGCCATGAGGTGAAACTTGTTAGACAACCATTATGGTCCCCATATGCTTAAGTTGTGAGGGATCCTCTTAGTATCATCCAATATGCACTCTTTAAAGATCTTCTGTAATGTTTTTATTTGGTCGAATGCATCGTTTTCTTTCCAAAAGAAACAAAAACAAAAACAAAAACAAAACAAAAAAACAAAAAAAAAGCTAACACTCCCCATCACGTGTAGCCCACCGTGCACCCGCAAAGATAGACGTATGCACAACGTAAAAGGTTTGAAGTTTCTAACCCGTGACCTCCTAGCCATTATCATGTTAGATAATCTTCCTAAAAACTTAAATTGTTAAATAATGAACCAACAATGCATATCGAGCCAACAAAACTAAGAAAATATTTAAACATGCTAATGACCTTGATTGACATCTTGCCATGGATGGACCTCATAAGTCATATATGTTGAAGAATAAGTCCAACATCGAAAACTTGATCATATAAATTACGTCATATAATTAATGGTTCTACTACTAATAGCATCGAGGCCTTTTATATAAAACTTCACACGTATTGGGCTTTGTCGATGATTAAGTAAAAGACATTATCAGTATTGCTAATAGCGGACTGTTAGCCCATCTCTCTGAAATTTAACAATATCAATATGTCAAAATGAATTTCCAATAATTAATGAACTCTACCGAGTTGCCACTCAACACTAGTACGTTGAGAGAAGACAACACACATTGGTTAGGTTTTGGACTAGCTTTTAATAATTCCAAAAGGGAATATCTAAAGCAAAGTTAAGCAAAGTTGAAAACCCAATGGGATTGGATTTACAACTTATCCTAATTCACTTCAATAATGAACACGACTTATATATCTTAGTTGTGGATGGTCATGATTCATTATAATGTAGCTAGCAATATCTTCAACATCATCATTTCATTCAAATCTTGTCAAATTTTTTTATGAACCAATCAAGCACACACAAACCCATTTCGTGCTAAGTAACTATTGGCCATGTAAAATTGGTTAAGGGGAAAAAAATGAATCAAAAGGTGGAGGGGCCATACCCATAAACCAGTAGGGTCCGAATATTTGAGGCCTAAATCGAACTAAATCATACTTTTACTATTGGTCACACGATGGTTAAATTGAAATTAAATTCATATAAATCCTACGACGCATTCAAATCATGACTCGTCGGTTACACCTAAAATGACACAATCTTTGCAATACTATCAAAGGATTGTGACAAAAAATAAATTACAGATTAAAAGAGCAGCATCACAAATTATTTTAGACCAGCCATGCAAAGCTAAAATAAAATAATATATAGCATGTTGCTATACAGATCCAGTTGCAAAATTTGGAAAGCTAATTATTTTATTGCTGAGTTAACAGTTACATATTATATTTACAAGGAAGGGGAGAGAGAGAGAGAGAGAGATCCAGATTTTTTTCAAAAGCATATAAGATTTCTTTTATTTGTTTAAGCCTGAGGACTTGGACAGAGAGACCATTAACACAACTTTGACAAGAAATACAAATAAAGAAGTTGGTTGATTAAGGTGGACTTTGCCTTATGGGCAGACAGATATTCTACCTAGGCTTGGTAAACAAGTCTACATATTGCAAAAATAAAATAATAAAATTCAAAATTATTTGATTGGAGGGTACGAGGTCAAGGTGAGGAGAGCAACCAATGGTTGTGTTTAAGCTCTTAGTCATCTGCAAACCTACCTTATCTATTTAGATAAACTAGTTTAATTATTAAAATTAATAATAATTATATAGTTAATTAGTCTGCTTTTTAATTAGTCACATATGCCACATAAAATATAACAGTCATTAGAGGAGGGTCAAGGCAATTTAAAATTGAAGGCATATCCATTGCATTGTATAAATCCCTTGCAAGATCCCAAACCTTTTATTAATTGTAAAAAATACTAAGCTTTTTCATGTGAATGAGTCAGCATATATTTAAGCATGACTTTTGGTGTTAGAGAAAAACCCATCATCCAATTGTTGTAGTTTTTTTTAAATTAAAAATAAATAAAAATCATGAGTTCTAATTCAAATGGTATTTATAAAAATTGTAGCTTAAAGGTTACAACTAGAGCATAAGCATACCAGTAAAACTATGGTTCACATCTAAGGTACCATTCAAAATTCAAAGTGAGTCAAAGCACTATTTATAATGGTACTTGATTTTTATTTATTTTTAAATAGAAACATTAGTCTAAACTACAAGGGAGAGGAATTTCATTCACATACACAACTATAATGTTGTGCGGATTCGAATATGAGACATTTGGTTTGCATGTCAAAGTTTTTTTACTTAACTTGAAAAATAAAAAATCCATATTAGTACCTTTTTATATTTATTTATTTATAATTGAAATATTAAAAAAGATTCTAAGTTTGAAATCCTTTGTCCAATATATAAACGATGAGTAATGCTACCACTTTCCACATTTTTATCCCACATTTCTATACTACATGATGTGGCATGTCAATATTATATGTCACATCAATTAAATCAATGAAGTGTATTTTAATTAAGACAATTAGAAAAACAAATACTTGAATAAATCATAAAAGAAAAGAAAATATTAAATCAAAATGTGGTAAGAGTATAATTATTCATAAACGATTTATCAAAGAGCAACTTTATAAATACAAAAATTATAAAAGATTTATCTTTAAAAAAAAAAGAAAAAGCAAAATTAATGAATATTGTTGAAATGAAGCATGACCCAATGGAGTGAAACACAGCACAAAGATGTCTTGTCTCAATTCTCACCCCTCTCCTCCAAAGTAAGGAACAAAAAGGGCTTCAAGAATGCATGCATCAATAATAATTCAACTGAATGTTTCATTATCATATCATTCAATTTCATGGCAACTCTTATCGTTTATGTCGTGGTCCTCATCCTCATCATCATAATCATGAATTTTCTTTCATCTTCAACCGTAGATGATGCAACCTAACTTGGACAAAGGAAAAGAGAAATGATGATAGTTTTCAAGTTGTCATCTGTTGTGGATGTGTGGCGTATAATGAAACATCATACATCATGCATCAACGACTCAGACTCATCAATCGGTCAATAATTTCACCCACGTAAAAAATCATTCTTATCGATTAACACACGCTTACCTATAAAGTCAAATGCAGATGTTGGTGGTAAATTAAGAAGCATTTCCATGCGACCCAAATGCAATTCATGCCTTTTTTTTCAAGATTTTATGGATTAAGGGGCATGTTTACATGACATATTTTCTCAAAAATATCCAAATGCATGCCTCTCATGGTTGACATTGACTGGTCATGATTTGAATGCAATGCGCCTGCAAACTGGTCCCTGGTAGCAATCTTGGTGTCACGTTAGGAAAAAGTGGAAGAAAACAACGACTATATAAATTTGTCCTGTTTACCACAAAATATATGGAGATAAATTTAGAAGATTTTGGTAGGAGGACAAGACTTAGCAGGACCTGGGAAGTTAGGAGCTTTGTATATATGGTGATAATAATAGTTTTTACTTAGAAGAGAAATTGCTTAAGCATCCACGCTGCAACTTTCTGAATTTGATTAAATCTGATTTTAGGGGAGACTTTGATTGATTCTAAAGAAAGAAACATCACTAACATCGGATTAGCGTATAGTCAATCGTTTACCTTCCTTTTCTTGTCGAGCGAAGTTTCGGTGATTAGTCATGTTGACAAGAGACACTAATATCGGATTAGCATATAGTTAATCGTTTACCTTCCTTTTCTTGTCGAGCGAAGTTTCGGTGATTAGTCATGTTGACAAGAGACTAGAGAAAAATAGAAATACCATCAACTAAGACGACAACCACCCCTTGGTCATGAATAGAAGTGACTCAAAAGTCTCCATTGCTAGAATTATAATTTAGCACCTTTGAAAGCCCTTTGGATGGCTTCGTAATCCATTAACACTTTCCATGTGCAATTTTGGTTTGGCTCCGTTTGGTAGATAAGAAACTGCTGTGCAGAAAAAGAAAAAAAAATGTTTGGGTTTTTAGATGGGAAATATTTTGTAATGTTTGTTCTATGAACATTTCAGTATTCCTATGTTTAATTCTTGACCCAAACAACAAATAGGTTTCTTTTTCTTTTTCTTTTTCTTTTTGGAACAGAATTGAACCCAAACTGTTACAGCATAGCCGGCCCAGAAGGTATTGATCAATTGGAATCATTTCTTATCAAAAAGGAAAAACAGGCTTTTTGAGAAAGGAATAACATACCAATTCGTGACTTACCAAGCAAGTCTAACAAGGATAAACACATACACAGAGGGCAAGCAGAAAAGAGAAACAAAAGGAGAATCACTAGCAACAAAATACTAAAAGCTAAAGTAAACAATTCCATTAAAACGAGTAGATACTTTATTGTCAACAGAATTTCAATAGCACATGGCTGTAGTACATTTTCAAGTTCTCAACAATGCCATTTCATAGCACAAAACAAGCATCTCATGAAGGTCCCTTAATTTTAAGCTTTCCCATGTTCTGATAAATAACAAAATCAATCACAACTAGACCACTTTGATGCACTTTATATCAAAGAATTGTACATTGAACCTAGCAAAGGTGTATTAAGGTTTGTCCTGCTGCCTAACCTAATTACTGATTTAATGAGTCTGAGATGAAAGAAAAACGGATAGCTATACCTGAATATTATCTACGCGGGGATCCAACGGGGTTGTATATTTGTTCATCATCATGGCCTAAAACCCACTGGGCAGTGGAGACAGTGTTCAACTCTTCATCACATTCAGATGAGTTACAATAATTCCATATCTTAGAATCTCAGGCAATGGGATAGCAGTATTTGGCTCCAGGACCCTGAGAACGTCAGTATGTACAAGGTGGAAGGCTAACCATGGTAGTCCTGTCCTGTGATTCCACAACGCACATAGTTTGACAATCACACAACCGCAGAGGTAGTACGGCGAAGATCTGTTACTCCATTGTTAAATTTCCCACTAGTTTGCCTACCTTTGAAACTGCCGTATCTAACAGGCTTTGGCTGAAAGAGAGACAAGAGCATTTTCTCCAAATTCTGTACTGAATACTTTGCATACTTGCTTGAACTTGCATCTTGCTCAACCAAGGGCCCATAGTTCTGCATGTAGCTTCTGTAAACAGGCACAACCGCCTGCACTATGAGGTGGCATGTCTTCTCTCTTAGATCTTTATCTGACACTATCCAATTTGATTGCCTCTTATACATGTCATCAAAGGCTTCATTGAAAGTTTTTAGCCTCTTTTTGACAAGATCACGGGCAGTGGCACGACCACCTGAGAACAGAATCAGACCCTCCCTACTTAAATGACCAGGAAGCTTCCCCCAGCTATCTCTCAAAAACACTGTGACATAATAGTCCTTGTACTGTTCATGTTCTTTTAACCAGGCATCCCCCAGCAGAACCCCTAACTTAGTTCCCTTCAGGTGCCTGTACAAATGCCAATGGTTGTTCATTGCAAAAAGGTTGGACAATGAGGCATCCTCATAAGCCTTTATCCATGTCTCCAAATTTATCTCTATGGCTTTAATAATTTCCAAAACCTCATTAATAAGGAGCTTTTCTTGAAACTTCTGATGCTTCCAACTTCGGTCAATGATCAGAACCTGAGTTAATAGTGGCTTATAATCATCCCCAAGCAGTTTATTACAATAATCAGTAATGAAGCTAACCAATTTCGGAACACTCCCATCTGGAGGAGGCGGGTTCTGCCTTTGTAACTGCACCTGAAGAAGAAGCTCCCAGAAAATTTCAGCGGCTCCATCAATTACACTCTTAATGAGATCCCTTGTCAGATTTTGGATTTCAATACATGCTGCTCCACCAAAAAGCCGGTTGAAGTCCAGTCTCAATTTGTTCAAAGACGCGAAAATATCCAACAACTTCAAAAGCTTTATCGGATCTTTTTTGCTCTCTGTAACAGTTTTCCCAAATTGTAGAAATGCAAGAATACCAGCCTGAGCGGCTATCTTTGCAAAGCAACCCATCCACACATCCAATCCAATCCTCTCAAAAACATCATTGCACAGCTTGTACTCCGCCTCAAACAAGTGTTTCACTGCAAACTCCAAATGCTTTCCCCACTGTGCTATATAGCCCTCTATGCTTTGGACATCATTAAACTCTGCAATTGATATCTCAAGGTAATCCAAATTGAGAGCTTGTAAACTTGCCCTCACATTTGAACTTCGAACTTCAATGTAAATGGATATACACTTCTCAAGTCTATTGTTAGCAATCGATCTTCCAATAATAGCTTGCAACTTCTGGATTACCAGAACAGGTAAGGGTGATGGAGCAATGCAAGCTTGTTCTCCAAGTGAAGATGACGACGACATTGGAAGTGGCACACTGTGTTCCATTAGGAGTCTCCGGAACTCATTTTCTAATTTTTCCAACGCAGCCTCCAAAAGGCCGCCATCGAGGTTGGCCTTTCCCTCACCATCTTGCAATTCTCGTAGACCTTTCAATGATTTCTTCAGATTTGAAAGGTACCTATCATCCGCAACCGCATTATCCTCCAAGTACTCTACTATATCCTCCAACCACTGAATTGCCAATCCACAATTGTCACCCAGAAACCTCAGAGCCTCTTCCAGGCGTTTCAACACCGATAGGTACCCCGGAAGATCACTACGCGGATCTGACAATAGTGGTTTCTCGAGTCCATGAACAGCATCAAAAACTTTAAGCACAGCTGCAGCAGGGCCAACAGCCCGGTTGATATGGCCACCAACAGCGGCGAGGGCTTCCTTGTCTGCACGAATGGGTCGAACTGCAGCTTCAAGAGAGGGTAATCTCTGGTTAATCTCTTCAAATCTGTTTCCTGCTTTCTCTAGAGCCGACCCCAGGCCCTGTGATTTCTGTAAGCTTAGCCTCAATGATTTGCTTGCAGATATCAAACTCTCAATGCTCTTATCATTCACTGAATTCGCCATTCAAATCCTAATTAAAAACAAACAAAACCCCAAAATCAAAATCTTTGAAACTCCAAGTCTCACTCAAATTGGGAGCAAAAAGAAAAGGAGCAACTTCAAGCAGCTAAATACAAAAAAGTCAAAATTGGGCTTTTCTTATATTCCTTTTCTGAAGTGAAATTTTCTTCATCTCTCTAGAAATCATCGAAAATCAATCAGGACACAAGTACAAGCACAAAACCTCATCTGGGTCCTCACAAAACAAAACCAACACGCTAAGAAACAGCATAAAATCTCACTCAACCAACAACAAGCAAACCAAAGGAAAGCAACCCAGATTTTCTTGAGAGTTAAGAAATACAAGGAATGAATAAGAAGGACTCACTTGAAGCAAAAGAGAGATCCAGTTCACCCGGCCGAGTTGAATCAGATTCTGAACCCGGTATTCAGAGATTCACACACAGAGAGAAAAGGAAGAAGGAGAGAGAGAAACCCTAATCGTGAAAGTAATGTGAGAGTGATGGGAAGATAGAGCGCACTTTTGCAGAGTTCTATTTTTCGCAATGTCCGACGAGAGTGGTGCCAAAGTGCATGACAGTAAGGCAAAACCGCAAACCCTTCCCCCTTGCTTTGCTCTTAAACTCGTTTTAGCCCCTCTCTCTCTCTCTCTCTTATTTTTTCTTGCTGCCAGCCAAAACTCTATTTTTGTTTTTGTTTTTGTTTTGTTTTGTTTGCTTTGCTTTTTATGACTTTTCTTTACCTTTCCTTCTCAGCCTCCCCTCTTCTTCTCCACTCTGTTAAGTTTGAAGACTCACTTTGCACACAAGTAGAATCTGACTGCATCAACTCATTCAAAAGCTAAATTCTACATGATTAAAGAAATCATTAATTTTTTCCTTAATTATGATGGTTGGCTATATGGGTAGGGAAGGATTAAATTAAATTATGAAAGAGGCTGTCATGTCACTGAAAACATTTTTAAAAAATTAAGTTTTAAATTTGATGTAATGAAAAAAATAATTTTGTTTTACATGGGTGGGCATGGGCAAGAGAAGTTGGAAATTGGGAAATTTGTCCTCACTTCACAAAACTATGACTACAACAAGAAGTCTTTTCTTTTTTCATGGTGATCACATTCTTTGAAACTTTCAAATGATCCTCTTCAACAACTTTCAATCAGTGCTTGCTTTTTAACTCTACCAGTGCAAAGTACAGTATATGGTATAAATAATAAATTCATAATTGAGAGAGAATATTCCACTTTCTCATAAACTTTTTTTGGGTGTGTGTGTCCAGTAAATACAGGAAAATAAACTATTCAATATTCTTGTCAAGAAAATAATACTTGTATGATCATATCAGATTTGTTGATTATATTTGTTACAATGAAGAAATTCATGTAGGATGTACTTATGTAGTGACTCGTATATAATCAATTTTGTTAAAAAATATGATTAGTAAAAGTGATACATATAACTCGGACTTCTCAACTATAACCGTTGTCTTTTCAATTAAAATAATGTGTGTGTATATATAAATTGTAGTCTCCATTCTTGGGACCACAGATGGAAATAAACTACAGTGCTGGTCAAATAAAGGAGAGGATGGTTTGGAAATTGCCAACTTGGTTATGAATTTCCAGATCTGTTAGCTGGCCTACTAATTATGATTGCACTGTCTCATCTTGTGCCTCTTCTTGCTTGTGCAAGATTGTCAAACCATCTAAATAATTTATAGCATTGTATAGAAGATGGCTATATATAAAAGTATATTAAAAATAAACAATTATGTGAAATAATTATAGAAAATTTTCAACAGAGAGAGAGAGAGAGAGAGAGAGAGCGAGAGAGAGAGAGAGAGAGAGAGAGAGAAATCCTCTCAGTAGTAGCACAGAAAGAGTTGAATGTAAAAGCAGCTTGACCCCATGAGTAGCAGGCAACAAAACTCTCCACCAGTGCAGGACCAGTCAAGAATCACTTCGTTTTGAAAAACACCTCACAAGCTTTGATGGGGAATATTCTGGCCCTACCTCACAAGTCACAACCTACTTTCTCTGGACACCCTTGTTCGAATCTACAAGTGAAATCTTCTATGGACACCCACCCAACTACATTTGCAAAAACACCGAAAGTAATTAGGACCAACATGATAAACTCCAATGGTTTCTTTGGCAGCCATTCATCATAAATCAAAATGTTCCTTTCTTGAATTGAAATTTTGGTTTCGTCAACTTGGTTATTGGTGGCAGCTATGAAAAATGGCTACAACATGTGACCCCAAAATGGCTCCCACACCATTGCACTAACATCTCATTGCTGATATACTTGCAAATTTCCTCATGCGCTATAGCAGCATCAAGTACACGCATGTAGCACATAAAAACTGGAAAATAAAAATATAGTAGCAAAAGCTTCTACACAAGAAGCTTGTCCCTAATGGAGTGCAACTCAGATGCAACATCACTGATATCCTTTCGGTCTGCTGGGGATTCAGCAGAACACGCAATCCCAATTCCGAATATCGAACTCAAGCATTCTTTGATTTTTCGAGGTATCACGATGCTGTCACTGGTACCATCTTGAAGAAGCAGTGAATCAGCAACCTCTGTAACTCTCCTATCTAGGAAAGCCATCTTCGCGAAATTATGAAGGTTGAAGCCGCCACTAAACATGTCGTCAGTAGGTCTCTTCCCTGTGAACATCTCTAACAACAGAATGCCAAAGCTATAGGCATCCCCATAAGTTGACACCTCACTTCCCATGCCATACTCTACAATTCAAACATCAAAAATTGTATCAACACAATTGTAGATAAAAACATAGCTGTCTTTGAATTGTTTGAGAGTAAAAAATAGGATGAGGAAATTGTGAAGCATAAGGGATGAGAGAGTATTTACCTGGAGCTGCATAGCCAACTGATCCTCTTAACCCAATGGAACTTGTTTGATGATTTTCTGACACATTGCTGGTTAGTTTCAAGAGAAATTTTGCTAGTCCAAAGTCAGAAACATGGCCAGTCAATTCCTTGTCCAAAAGAACATTGCTTGGCTTGAGGTCACAATGAACTATTTGTGTCTCGCAATGATTATGAAGATAATCCAGAGCACAAGCAACATCCATGGCAATGTCCAGCCTCTGAACAAGACTCAGATTCTTGGGTGAAGTTGGATGCAGCCACTCCTCTAAGCTTCCGTTTTCCATGAACTCGTAAACAAGAGCCTTGAAATCATTACTGCGAAAATCAACACTTGAACACGCGGTTATAATCTTGACAAGATTTCGATGCTTGATATTTCTTAGCGCTTCACATTCAGCTAGGAAGCTCTTAGAAGCTCCTTGGCGTGACAGGTTAAAAACTTTAATGGCAACAAGTTGAGGTGACCTATCAGGATCATCAAGAACTCCTTTGTACACAGATCCAAAGCTACCAGAACCAATCAAATTATCTGAAGAGAACCCATCAGTAGCTTTTAGAAGAGTAGCATATGAGACTTGCAGCATAGAGTTTGCCAGGTTGGCGCTTGATGATGCAGTTTTTTTACCCTTCTTTCTTAGCAAGCAGAGATATAAAGGGACAAAAACCAGAGCTATTCCTAGAAAGGCAGAGACTATGGAAATTATTAATTTCAGTCTAGGAGACAGTCTTCTTCTTCCCTTGGACTCTTTGGAGCTGCAGTTGGGCAGCCGGAGACTAGCAACACCACCGCAGAGCCTGATGTTTCCAACAACAGAAGTTGCACTAGCATTTTTAAAAACACCTTCAGTCGGAACTGCTCCCCAAAGTTCATTGAAGGATAAGTTCATATTCTTCAAGAAGACAAAGCCCTCTAAAAACCTTGGAATTTCGCCAGAAAAATTGTTGCGAGAAAGGTCTAAATCTTGAATCCCTCTCAATGAAGCCATAGATGAAGGAATTGTCCCATTGAAGAAGTTGCCCGGCAAGTGTAGGACTTCTAACCCAAACAACTATCAAGGCTACCGGGAAGCTCTCCATATAGCATGTTATCAGAAACATCCAGTACACCTAGGCTCTTTAGCTTTCCAATCTCCACAGGAAGGGAACCAGTCAAGTGGTTTCTGGACAAGTCTAGAGAAATGGACAAGGAGGGGAGGCCGAAAACTTGGCGAGGTATTGCACCGTCGAGGTTATTTTGGGAAAGATTCAATGTCAGCAGCCCGAGGCATTGCCCTAGGCTTGAAGGGATGTTGCCTTGAAGGTTGTTTTCTTGCAATTGGAGAGAGGTTAGCATGGTTAAATTTCCTATAGAGGATGGGATGCTCCCTGATAATTCATTGTATCGAAGATTCAACAGCCCTAGACTTGCTAACTTTCCAATGTCCCTGGGGATGCTACCTGTGAAGTGATTATTTCTCAAATTCAAAAATTCCAAGTTGATCAGGTTCCCAATCCCAACTCGGATGTTTCCATGTAGTTGGTTTTCTTGGAACGTCAGCGATGTAAGCTCTGTTGTGAGATTGGATATTGATGGGGGCAGAGTGCCACCAAAATTGTTAAGGCTTAAAAGCAAGTGCCTTAACTTTGTGGCATTGGTCAAGTCTGAGATGAAGCTCAAGTCACCTTAAGTGCCACTTCCAAGATAATTTTGGTCAAGGTCAAAGTATTGAAGCTTATGAAGGTTTCGCAAACTCGGCACTTGCCCAGATAATTTGTTATCTCCAACAAGAAAAATGACTAAATTTGTGGCATTGGATATTGACAGAGGAATTGGTCCGGTAAATCGGTTCGTAAAACATCTAAAGTCTTGGAGATTAGGAAGAGTTATTCCCAAGTCTGAGGGAAGACTCCCTCGAATTTGGTTTATTGAGACAGCAAAGTAAGTAAGAGCAGAGAGGTTAAAGATGGAGGGAGGGATGGTGCCAGACAATCTATTCTTATCCAATACCAAAGTCGTTAAATGTTTCAATCTGCCAAAAGAACTAGGTATGCTTCCCAACAAGCTATTGTTTTTTGCACCAAGCTTCTCAAGAGACGAAAGGTTTCCCAAGGAAGGAGGGATCTCTCCTGTTAAATTATTAGACTCCAAAATAAATATTCGAAGCTTGGACAAGGCGCCCAGCTGTGAAGGAATTGTACCCACTAAGCTGTTGCCACCAAAATGAAAAGCGTTGAGATTGAAGCAATTGGAAATGTTGGTAGGGATAGGGCCACTGAGTGAGTTGTTGAATAGACCTAATACTTGCAGCCTATGCAAACGCCCAATTTCAGCAGGGATTTGTTGGCGAAAGCTGTTGCCTCCGAGGCTAAGTTCCCTTAGGAAGCTTAGGTTTCCAATGTGTGGGGATATGGAGCCCACCAAGTTTTGGGACTCTAAGTTGAGCACAGTGACCCTTTGATGATGCCTTTTGCTGCAGGTAACGCCATGCCACATGCAAAAGTGGATGGAATCATTCCATGAACTCAAGACATGATGAGGGTCTTCCTTTATTTGAGCTTTGACGGCCAGCAATGAAACCCTATCCCTCTCATTTCCTTCCAATAGTCCCAACCTATGGGACTCCATGGATACGGAACGGTCCGAATGCATAAAGCTCCAGCAGCAGACGAATGCATTGAAAAGTGTGCATACTGTGATCAATAATCTCACAACCAAAACCTTCATTCTGGGGGATCAATAAGTCACAGAAAAAATTGAATTTAAGTTTTCTCTAAATCATGACGTATGTTGTCTGTCTAGTTAAAATATAAGTGTTACAAAATATATTCAGAAGAATTACCTCCAGTTATGTGTCGACAATGGAGAATGAGTATGCCGTCGAATTGGGAATGATCGATTCTTGTTAAGCCACCTTCTCCACTGTAAAGCCAGTGAATTAAGTTTTGTTCAATTTGAGAGATGGGTTGTGAAATTTGGGGCATGGAAAGCTAAATTATAGGACGTTTAAAGTTAATGGTCCACTTGCTGCCTAAGACACTTTTTTTCAGCATGATGGTTCTTGGTAGTGTATTTAGTAGTTACTAGGAAGAAGAACATTTTAAGGCATAGGCTTCACTTTTCAAGTCCACGTAATTTGACTTAATTCACGGTGAAATTGATTAATTAGGCTTGATTGCATTAATTTGGTGCCTATTTTCTTGCTATTTGACGCGTGTTCTATTCCTAACCCCAATATAACATGGGAACTTCCAGAGACGTCGAGTTCAAGCCTTCCTTGTCAAACGCAAAGACCTGGTCCTAATTTTTGGGTCTTGGTAGTTATGATGATTTTGGGGTTTCATTTCCTGGAGTATTTTCTGATGCTAACGTGTACTTGAATCAAAGCTGAAACACCATTTGACAGCTTCTTCACCCATTCGAGCTTGTGCTTCAACTTCAACAGCCACATAGGTTGACGAATGAGAAAAACTTGCCTATCTAGCATGTATCATGATTTCTTCTTTTGTTACACTGAAGAGAATCGAATCTGTGACTTATCGTAATCCTAACCAATTGCCTCATTGGGGGTTTCATTTCAGTACATGAGAAATGAACATAAAAGCATCTGGCCCTACTCCCTTCCACATTAGTATTTAGATTGAGCCCAAATGCAAGATATGCCCATTTGACCAAACCAACAGTACAGAAGCTTTCTTAATCTTCGTCCACTTTGTGTTGAGTGCTGTGGTCAAGCACCATGAGCGTGACCCAGCTTCATTAACGAGTTTCATGCTATTCTTAAGCCCATTATTTCTAATCCACCACCGCGTTTTTAAAATGAGATTTCTATTTAAACCACTTTTCTTTGTTTATCCCAATACTTAAATCATTAAACTCTTAAGTTTTATCATTGTGTAAAAAGACAAAAAAGATCATCCAACTTAATACTTAACCCTAGTACATCTATATACACACCACATCACTCATCATATTAAGTTTTAGAAAAACATAACCTTCTCTACACCCTATTGACAAATTACTGTTGGAAAAACAATTATCAATGACTGATTAAAACAATTATATAAACAGAATATATAACAATCTGTACCACAGAATACAATATATTAACAATAAATAAAACTAACTTGAATTTGAGATAGAGGCTTGCAGATTTGATGCAATGTCCTAAAGACAGTAATTTCACCCCTTCTCGGTGCTTGAAGTTCTACAGGTGACTGCCTCCCAGGATTCAACTATCTATATTCTAAGCCCTAGCACTCGGACTTAGAATCTGGCGAACGTTGTTTGTTTTCCTCTCAGACAATATGAAAATGCTTGTAGAATGCTTTTTTCTGTGTGTAACGTATGAGGCTTTGTTTGATTTAAATAAACTTCTGAAACCTTATCAGAAGAGTCACAACTGTTAGAAAACAGTTAATAAAACTAATCCGAATTAATAAAAATTATTAATTCGAAACCAAAAAATAATTTTAAATCTGAAAGTGCCCAAGTGCCCCAAGGTCCAAGGCCTATCTTTTTGACCATTAAATATTATATATTTTTATATAATATTCAAAGCCCAAATCAATTTTGAAGCCCAAATTGCTTCCACTTGGCCTACTTCCATTTACTAAGTGTGGCACTTCCACACTTATAAGGACCTCACTCTTTCTACTTTCTATCAATGTGGGACAAAGGTTCTTGAATTTAATTCAAACTTCCAACAATTACTCCTCTTTCAATCCAAAAAACATACTATACTCTCATCTTCTCTTCACAAATCCTAAATACGGTATGCAAATAGTGGCTTGTGAGTCGTCTTTTGAGGTATGTAATGTGAGATTATTTCTTGGTTTGAAACTCCTCCCAGAATTATTGAGGAGATTATTTCTTAGTGTGGGCTCCTCCCATATTATTTATTGGCTTGAGTTCTAGCTAGCTACACATCCACCCATTCCTCCCTTGACAAGACCCATCTCATGGAGTTCAATTCAAGAAGCTATGCCAAATGAAATCAGGCTTGTGAACTTGACTTCAAAAACAAACCGAACCAAACCGCCCTTGGTGACATTCGCGATTTGGTTGGTCTGTCATGTTTTCCGGTTGTTTAATTGAACTTGTCTTTTCTCCCAAGTACATCAAAAAGAGATGGAGGATCACATGGAGGTGGCACGATGCTGGGTTTCTAAATAAAAGATCATTCGCCATAGATAGATTATAGATACCTACCATCATAAATTTCTCCTCTAATTCTTGTGATGGGTTAAGTCGTTGCCTCCAAAGTCCAACGTCTTAGCGCCCTTCCACTACCACGTTTTTAAAATTCATTGGAAGGTAGGGGAGCTTTTGACTTTTAATACAGATACATACCTTCCGACTTAATCAACAAATTAAATTAAGACCAATTGAAGCTTATGAAGGGTAAAGTATTGAAGCTTATGAAGGTTTCGCAAACTCGGCACTTGCCCAGATAATTTGTTCTCTGCAACAATAAATCCGACTAAATTTGTGGCATTGGATATTGACAGAGGAATTGGTCCGGTAAATCGGTTAGTAAAACAGTGAAGGTTTTGGAGATTAGGAAGAGTTATTCCCAAGTCTGAGGGAAGACTCCCTTGAATTTGGTTTACTGAGACAGAAAAAGTAGTAAGAGCAGAGAGGTTAAAGATGGAGGGAGGGATGGTGCCAGACAATCTATTCATATCCAATGCCAAAAATGTTAAATTTTTCAATCTGCCTAAAGAACTAGGTATGCTTCCCAACAAGATATTGTCATATGCACGAAGCCACTCAAGAGATGAAAGGTTTCCCAAGGAAGGAGGGATCTCTCCTGTTAAATGATTAGACTCCAAAATAAATATTTGAAGCTTGGACAAGGCGTCCAGCTGTGAAGGAATTTTACCCACTAAGCTTTTGTGACCAAAATTAATATAGTTGAGATTGAAGCAATTGGAAATGTTGGTAGGGATAGGGCCACTGAGTGAGTTGTTGTGTAGTAATATTACCCGCAGCCTACGCAAACGCCCAATTTCAGCAGGGATTTGTCGGCGAAAGCTGTTGACTTGGAGGCGAAGTTCCCTTCATTCTGGGGGATCAACAAGTCACAGAAAAACTTGAATTTAAGTTTTCTCTAAATCGTGAAGTGTGTTGTCTGTCTAGTTAAAATATAATTAATACGTGTTACAAAATATATTCTAAAGAATTACCTCCAGTTATGTGTCGATGATGGAGAATGAGTATGCCGTCGACTCTTGTTAAGCCACCTTCTCCACAGTAAAGCCAGTGAAATTAAGTTTTGTTCAATTTGAGAGATGGGTTGTGAAATTGCGTACTTGAGTTCAATTTGGGGCACGGAAAGCTAAATTATAGGACTTTTAAAGTCAATGGTCCACTTGCTGCCTAGCACTGTTGTTACTTTTTTCAGCATGAAGGTTCTTGGCTGTGTAGTTAGTAGTTACTAGGAAGATGAAAATTTAAGGCATAGGCTTCACTTTTCAAGTCCAAGTAATTTTACTTTTTAAGCATAGGCCTGCCTTAATTCACGGTGAAATTGATTAATTAGGCTTGATTGCATGGGAGAGGATATGTTTTCCCCAATTTGGTGTCTATTTTCTTGTTATTTGACACGTGTTTAACTTAATCTCAATATAATAGTGTTAAGTTAACCTTAAATCAATTTTAAAAAACTAAGGGTTCGTTTGATAACTATTTCAATTTTTATTTTTTTTGCTAGAGTATAAAGGAAAATGAGAGTGAGAATAAGAGTGAAGATGAGATTGAAAGAGAGAGGATAAGAGGAATGAGTAACAGAAGTAAAAACAATTTGAAATATATTTCAGTTTTTTTAGTTTTTGTTTTCACTTTTGTTATTTATCTCTCCTATCCTCTACTCTCATCTTCCTTCGCTATCTCATCTCCACTCTTATTCTCATTTCCATTCTTCCTCTTTTTTCTCTATACTCTATCACAAAAAAAAATAAAAAATAAAAAATAAAAGCTAAAATTAAAATGGTTATTAAATGGTTCTATAAAAAATTGAAAAAATAACAAACCAGCAATATCGTGACTTAAGTCTCCACCGCCACCCATTCCAACCACCCCACCCCACCTGCGGCAACCTCCGATCCATACGGCGAGCTTGACGTCATTCCCCGCCTACGGCAACTCTCTGTTTTGGTAGGAGGTTCATTTTCCTTCTTCTCTTCTGCTTCTACCCACACGAAAACTTCCAGAGACGTCGAGTTCAAGCCTTCCTTGTCAAACGCAAAGACCTGGTCCTAATTTTTGGGTCTTGGTCTTATGATGATTTTGTGGTTTCATTTCCTGGAGTATTTTCTCATGCTAACGTGTATTTGAATCAAGGCTCAAACACCATTTGACAGCTTCTTCACCCATTTAAGCTTGTGAGTCGTCACAAACCCTAAATACAGTATGCAAATAGTGGCTTGTGAGTCGTCAATTGAGGTATGTAATGTGAGATTATTTCTTGGTTTGGAACTTGTCTCAGAATTATTGAGGAGATTATTTTTTAGTCTGGGACTCCTCCCATATTATTTCTTGGCTTGAGTTCTATCTAGCTACACATGCACCCATTCCTCCCTTGACAAGACCCATCTCAAAGAGTTCAATTCAAGAAGCTATGCCAAATGAAATCAGGCTTGTGAACCGAATAAATTGTGAAAATCATCTAAGAGCAACTCCACCCATTTGCCCTTAGCCATGGCAAGGGGGGGAGCTAGGGCAGCCACTATTCACGTGAATAGTGGTTGCCCTTGCAAAATCCGAATTTTGTGTTTCCACCCGTTGCCCTTGCTAAGGGCAGTTACTATTCATTTTTTTGTTTTATTCACAACTTTTTTTACCACAATAATTAATTTGGATAATATTTTCGGATAAGATTTTCGGGTTCCTACGTGTCAATACTATTCATATCTCATAATCGGATAAAATTTTTAATTTCAAATTTCAGATAAATTTTTTTTAAAAAAGCTAGTATTTATAGAAAAAAATTCATTAATTTTGGGTATTTTTTAAAAAAAAATTCCAAATTTTTTCCAGTATTTTATTTCAAAAAAATTGGTTGCCTTTGGATTGGAGGAAAAAATCAGATCGGAGAGCCCAGACGACGCCACATGGCAACAGGAAAAAAAATCAAATCAGCGAGGTACTGTAGCGATACTGTAGCAGTACTGTAGTGATACTGTAGCGCTACAGTCACCCCCCAACCGAACCAAACCGCCCTTGGTGACATTCTCGATTTGGTTGGTCTGTCATGTTTTCTGGTTGTTTAATTGAATTTGTCTTTTCTTCCCCCAAGTACCATAAAAAAGAGATGGAAGATCATATGGAGGAGGCACGATGCTAGGGTTTCTAACTACAAGATCATTCGCCATAGATAGATTATAGATACCTACCATCATAAATCTCTCCTCTAATTCTTGTGATGGGTTATAAGTCGTTGCCTCCAAAGTCCAATGTCTTAGCGCCCTTCCACTACCACGATTTTAAAATTCATTGGAAGGTAGGGGGGAGCTGTTGACTTTTAATACGAATACCAACTTAAAGCAATTGAATTTGACTCCCTCCTCCTCATTTTTATCTCCAAGTCATCATGATTCCCTCCACAATTTCGAATCAATTTTTTGACTTTTTTTGTCATGGGATGCTCTCTTTAACCTATAAACAATCATGAATTCACGGGTGTGGCGGTCTGCCATACGAAGATAAATCTTCCCAAAACCAATTTAAATAATATTCCCCCCACCAAAGGCAATAAAAATTAATTAATTTTTAAATAAGTACAATTTAATTAATTAAACTAAACACCGCTTTGACAGATTTGAGATTCTGCCCTCTATTCCCCCCATTATCCTATTAATTAATTCAACTAAAAAAATAAAAATAAAATAAAATTTTACATCAAACCCACACCCACAATCGCTTTCTCCACCCACATACCTTCTCTTTCCACCCACTTTCCCTCACGTTGACTCGAACACCAACCCCACGTTCTCCGGCGCATGACGGTGTTCCCCTTCGTATGTTACGATCAGCATCGCCGGATCATCCGGGGCACGCTCCACGTGTTTCCTTGCTGGGCACCCCCTAACCGTACTGCACTTGTAATATCCCCTGATAACAAAAAACAATCGTCCAAAATATTAGACCTAATCCAGACCGTCAGATCATGTTAAATTCTGATTATTTTGCTCCTTTGTATATGAAGGGCACAGATTTAAATTCAATACCTTGGGTAGGGTGAGCCCTTGATCGGCTTTTGACCGTACTTCCTCCACGAGTACTCGTCCGGTGGAATATCGGCGATTTTTGAACTAATCGCTGGGACCCGAATGGTTTTCTTCACCCGATTTTTCCTGAATTATAGAAAGAAAAAAAAATTATTTTCTAAAAAATAAAAAGGTCGTCGGTCAAACTTAAATAACCAAGTATTTTTCCCTCGCGCGCGAAAAAAGACAAAAAAATATTTCGCTAAGATGCGCCATTTGGAAAAAGGCGCATCTTATCATGTCAGCGTCAACAAGTGCTGCGCCCATTAATGGCCCAGCAACCAAACTAGTTGACCCAAAACTCGGATGGATCCACCAGATTATAGCCGAGTTGAAATCGTCCGAGTCAACTCGCTTCCCCGGATAATCAACTAAATTTTCATTTGAAAATCTTTGGAAAAACCAACTCTATCGTCTCTCAGTAACCGTGCATGCGTATTTTAGCTTAACAATTAACAGCGGACACTAAAATGCGCAGACGGGGAAGCACGCATACCTTCTCTTGGAGCAATGGCACTTGCCGGAGCCAGAAGCAGAACCCGAGCCGGAATACTTGCACGACGCGTCGTCGGAGTGGTGGTCGTGCTCGTGGCACCTCTTCTTAAACGGCGCCGTAGAGAGCGGAGGCTTTGCGCCGGAGACGGCCGGTGCGGGTGCCAGGAAGATCGACGATCCTTGTTTGCCGTTCGAAACGCTGCCGTCTCCGGTGATCGCCGACGACATAAACGACGAGCTCGATGAGACGCTGAAGCTCTCCTTCGCGAACTCGATCTCCGTGCTCTTAGGATTTGATGCGAAGACATTAGGCCTCGTGAAGTCTAGCGTCACGCTGTGCGGCTGAGATTGGACATAGCTCGACTCGATCGGAGCCGGCGGGACGATCGGTAGTGTAGTGACCGGAGACGGCGCAGGAGAGGGCCTCGGATTCAGAGCCGGAGCCAAGCTCAATGTTTGTGAATACGAGGGATGAGAAGAAGAAGAGGAAAACTGAACCGGTTGATCCGGTTGAACAGGTCCGCGTCTGAACCGGGCGTGGCCGGTCCGGTTCAGGAGCGAAATGACCTTTTTGAACTTGGAGACGGTGTGGTCGGTGATGTCCGTACAGTCCAAGCGAGACGACTGGTTAGTTTGCTGCTGGTGCGATAGAAAGCGGATCAGGTGCTCCATGCTTTTCAAGCCTTGCGATGCAGCTTCCTGTATAGCCTTCTGATCTTCCATCTTCGGAAAGTTCATCAGGTCCACCGCCATTTTTGAACTGTAAGAAACGCAGACGAGGTTAAGATCTCAAGCGGCGCTCAAAAGGCCATGGAAGATTTGAGAAGATGAGGAGTTGTATTGGGTGTGTTGAGGAAGAAGAGGTTTTTGGGGGTGTGGGAAGATATATGGGGATGGGGAGTCAAAGTGGGATATTTGATCGGACGGGTGAGATGGGTTTGAAGATTTCTATTGGGATGACTGATGATATAAATAAGTTTTCTATACTTGAGGTGGTGGGTCCCACGGTGGGAGGAAATGTCAGTGTGGGACAACTATAAACTGGTAGTATTATATTTTCTCGTGATGAGGAGAAGAAAACAAATGAGAAGGTTGACTGGACCAGAAGGAGGAGGAAGAGGAACGGGTAAAAAAGTAGGAGGGGGTTTGGTTTTGGACTGTACTGTTTGGTTGTGAGACTTTATTATGACTTGTGTGTTTTGTTTGGTTATAAAAGTTTATTTCTTTTAGACGGTTTTATTTGATGGACAAATTAAGATTAAATATTGAATGCAACACTTTTATTATTAGAAAAAAAAATTAATAATTCACTGTCAAATTTTTTATTTAAAAAATTGGAATTTTGAGATCGTGAATTTTAATTTAATTTCACTTAAATATTGTATAATTTTTTAAATTTGGGAAAAAATCAAGAGCATTTACTGTTATTATTCACAACCGGCACCTCATTATCATCGATGTTATCATTTACAAATATGACGGCTATTTATTTCATAACAACTGCTAATTTACATATTAATTTTTTATTATGAAGCTAAAGTTTAAATTTCATATTAAAATTTCATTATACTCAATAGTTAACTGGAACAAATTCTTTAAAATACTCTTAACTCCCTCGCCCTAACGCACCCTTACATCGGAACCGAACCGATACGTAAAGTGTTTATATATTTATTCAAATAGTTAGGAATTCCAAAGATGAATTCGGTGCTCCAAAAGGTTTGGGTGCTCTTAAGTCTCTAAGGAAAAAAAGTCATACTTAAATTTTATGGGACTCTTTGAAAATATATATATATATATATATATATGTTATGAGAGTCTTTAAATGGTGCCAAAAGATACATACTTTCTTTTAGACGTAACTATAGTTATTGATTTGGCGTAGCAAAAATGCTAATAGACTTTGGCAAAGGCCGAAATGCAAGCAATTGGTCTTTTTTTTTGGTCTAATAAATGGGGACAAAATAAATAACAGTTAGGGTTGAATTGTCTTCTGACATGGATTGATGGTTTTCGTCAACTGTGAACACGAGATATGCAAGCATAAATTAATTCACAAATAAATAACAAAACCTAAACGTGTTGTAAAGTTAGGACATTTTAATATCACGAGTGTCACATCGTAAAATAGTTTGATTTTTTGGATTTATTCTTAATTACCAACTAGAAACTTAGACCTCATGAATGTGCAAGTCAAAAGAAGGAAGCTTGCTTGTTTGTCCTGACCCTTGAAAAATGACCAACGTTTCTTTCGTGACTTGAAACGGTAAAACTTCACCCCACAATACTCATTTTACTCAAAATAATTGATTTGACCCGTAATTCAACGCTCATGAAAGTGTCTTCTAGAATAGTTAAGTATTTGCTATAAATTGTGTTATTTCGTATTATTATAATTTATGGAATGAGGATTCAAACTCTTTTTTTTTCTTCGAGATTAAGGCAATAGAGTTTTTATTGATGAAGAGGAAATAAACAAGTATTAAAACCAGATTATATCCTAGAGGGGTTAGGCGAGTATTTCAACACCAAATAGGGCGTATGGTCGTTGGACTACAGAAGTTGCCTATCTTCTAAACCGAACGCATGAGAAGGAACTCTGTCTCCGTTAGAGCACCCCCGCCCCCTAGAAACATACCCTTAAAAATTACAAGTTACAATCCTCGAAAAGAACATGGGTAATACAATCATGTGGTTCCTCAAATAAGCGACACATTGCTCTGACCACCTTACTATATATGCATTTACAATATCTTATGTCGTGTTTACTTATCAAGAATGAGTATTAAAAAAACTTCAATTCATGCTTTTCACATGGATATTGGAATAATTCTAATTTATGATTTCTCTAACATATGAAATCATATGGATTTCACATTAAAATATGGGGAGCATTTTGCTCACCACTTTAACTCAAGGTGTACCTCATCATCATTCTTAGAAGTTGACACATGTCCGTAGATATAACCATAGTTAACTTTCAAAAATTTAAATTTATTAAAGTATATAAAACCAAATAATAATAATAATAACATTTATAAAATAAAAAAACCAACAACCCTAGCCACCATGATCCATCCTTAAGAATGATGGTAAAAATACACATTTAGTTAAAGTGGTGAGCAGCAAAAATTCTCTCTTAAAATATATAGTTAATCCAATTCTCATTCCTTGATTCCCCTATCCAATTTCCTGATTTATGGCTTCTTCTATTATCTGACAAGTAAATATACCAGTAATTAAGGGAATGCTATGTAACTTGATCGATGCCTCTATGTGAATGAGAAATGTCAATTTTATTTTTATTTTTTTGGCTGAGTTATTAATGGGATTAGTTAAGCACTGTTCTACAAAAAAAAAATAATTACTGAGTGGGGAAGAGAAAATAAAGCTGACCAAAAGTCGGGGATCACGTGGAAGTCTCCTTTTCCTTTTTAAATCCGAAACCATTGACTAGCTTTTTCCTTTTCATAAAAGCTGGTTCTTGCCTGTATCTCTTATATTAACCGTCCGATTTATCCTACAAATATCCGACGGTTAAAATGAAGACGTAGAGTTGACTATGACTTTCTTTAAAGATTATGCACATAATTGCAGAGGCAAAATACTACTAACTATGCATCAATTTTATTTTTTTGGTTAAGAAATATTAAGAATATTATTTATATTTTTCCTTGCCACTCCAATATATATACTATATGTTATATGAAGGGTTCAGGCAAAAATTCTTAATAATCTTTCTTCTTGAATTTTGATGCAATGTAATGGATAACGGTGGAAAATAATTAAAAATAAACATAAATTTACATTTTTGTAATATTTTATGATCGTCATATCATAGTTTTTAGGTCATTTTGTATGTGTGTGAATGTATTTAGTATCAAATTAGAGGATAATGCTTGCTGAATAAATGCCTTAATATTCCTTCTTTATTCGTTTATAAATTTCGGCGCCAAGCTTGAGATCTTATATAAGATCAACAGTTAGTTGATTACCTAATGCATATCGAAATAGTTTTTTGACAATATATTTACTTCTATAAGTTATGCAATTTTTACCTACTTTCGTAATTGTGCTCGCTCCACGTGTATTTATTTTAGAATTCAAGGAACGTATTGGAAGAACTGAATAATTTTTGTCACAAGTTAACTTACTTTATTCACATCCTAAAGTTAATTCAACTTTTAACTAAAAAATTCGTTGAATCTCAATACGAATCGATGTTTGACTTTGCGCCGGACCACCTCCAAAAGATTATATTACATTGTGCCCATGTTTGATACGCATAGGATTTGATTCTCCGCTAGAAACATTTGTATGGATAAAGAAATAAATTCGTATCTTCAAAATTTGATGCTCCTCCTCACAGTCGAAGAGATAGAGCACCCAATAGCTAATAGTGCCATAATTTTATTCTCCTCATAATTTTAAAATGTTTTAAAAGTCAAATAAATGGGTTTGCAAATAATAATAATATCACGACAAAGGTTGGAGTGCTTAAAAGGATCCAACTAGCAATGCATATAATTTTATTATTGGTCAAGACATCCCTAGTTGTTTCTTCTCTCTTATTTTTATTATTATATATTTTTAAATATTTGTTATTTATTATTATTATTATTTTTTTGTAAGCTTCTAGTTGACACCACATTGGACATTTATTTAATAATTAAAGTTTGATTGTCGTGCAACTTTTGAAATATTATTATTCTTTTCTTAGCAATCTCGGTAGGCGTTGAATTTTCTTGATCGGCATAATTAAATTTTGCATCAAATCTTACCCCACTTGTGAAAGTCGGTCTTCAATATCAAAAGAATCTGCCGTTTTAGCTATGACGTGTGACCAGAGCTGGGCCGTATGGGCCTAAACGGTCCTGAAACAGGCTGCCTCTAGTCTCCGAAATTTAAAATCTACAAGAATTCTATAGTGATGACATTATATATAGCCCTTATGTGAAACTCTATCTCTTAACTATTGAATCAAATTTGTTCGCCGTTGGATTAAATTGGTTAGCCTGATTCAATAGTTAAGAGATAGAACTTCAACTAAGAGCCATATATAAGGCTCTCCCTATTGAATGACTCTAAACTTCAAGGAGCAATAGAGTTGGGCCTTGTTAGCCCAGCCTCAAGACTAAAATTGGCCCGTTGGTATGTACAAATTCCCTTATAGGTCATATTCAAAGTAAAATAGTAAGAAGAAAGAAACTACATTAAGTTGTGATATAAATACACTGTCACACACCATTCCATAACTTAACACCAAGTTCTAAACAATTCACATTTTAAATGTTTCTTTTAAAGTACATTCATGCAAAAAAGTTAGATCGGAAAGGATTAGCTATTTGATTATCATCATGGTTATTTTAGTATTATCAAAACACACTATATTCGTCTCCTTAGTTTATTGTATATCCTTGCCCAATGACGGATAAAAAAAAATTCTTTATGAAGGGGAGATAAAGAAGCTATGGAACAAATATTTTGGCCCACCCTGTCCAACACCACTCTAAAACAAGGAGCCTACCCCCTCTAACTCCTTAATAGATCCACCTTTGCATCAATCTAACGGGGGTGTATTCAATTGAGATTTTAAAAGACTATTTATGGATAAATAAGTCTAGTGGATTTTAAAAGACTATTTAAGAATGTAATGACTTATAAGATTTTTTTGAAAGATTTTTTATACTCAGGATTTTTTGTGTTTGGATTTTAAAGATTTATATCATAAGAATTTATAAGATTTGAAAGGA